CAACAATGCCCCCAAATGAAACAACAAGAAAAGAAGACTATCTGCGAAGTCGAACCTTTTGATACCCTTAAAGATTGATCGCTCTTGTTGTGGCCTCGGAAAAAAAACAGTTTTTCCCACAAAAAATTGATTTTTGATAGATCGGCAAATATATTCTCGATCTGTACATCTATATTTGAAAGTAACAGCAAGTTAGGGCTCGTAGCTGCAAACATCCCGTCAAAATCCTCATACCTTTTATTGAGCATTAAAAAAAGGAGAAGCAGAAGGCTCAGCAGACGGAGGAGGATTAGGAGTAAGAGGAGGGAAGGGCGGGAAGAGGGAGAAAAAAACATGGCCGTAACAATAAAAGCACAACAATAAGCAGTAACAACGAGGACACCCATTGCCGTGCCGTGCAGTGCCCCATACAGTGGAGACACAGACACTGGAGCGGATGTGGCAGGCAGCAGCAGCCTCGTGGCCATGGCGCTGCCAAGTGTAGCAGATTAACGGAATGTTTGTTAAATGGCGCACGGGACGGGCCCAAGCTCTGTGGCAAGATGGTATGTAGGTATTGTAGGCACTTGTAGGTGTGGCTGGGGCATGCCATAATGCTCATAATTTGGCTGGCTCTGTGCCATTGTGTCCCTGCCTCAAACCATAGACAAAGCAGACACTAATAAGCCTGGCAGACTCTTAAAATCCAGCTTGCAAGCTTCTGGTAGCCTCTCTTTGGAGGCTCTTTAAATTGCAGGTCAGAATCTTCAATTCTGCGGCTTAGTCAACATTTTAGCTAATTAAAAAGAAGCTCGAAGCCAGGGAAGAAGCTGAAAGATAAGTACAAAATGTAAATCGAATCAAAAAAAGGCCACAAATTTTTGCTGCTGAATATTTTCATTTGCCTAATGCTTCTATAAGCCGCTTAGGTGGTTATGTCTCTGTGTCTGTGTCTGTGTCTGTGTCTCTTTCTGTATTTTGTGTCTGGGTGTGTGGGCGGCATACTTGAGATGCTTAGGAGGTGGTGCGTGTGGGAGAGATGACAATCCTGGCCAGTTAAATAGGGAATATGAGCTGTGAATATATTATTTGATTGTGACAGAAAGTAGTCGTATTCTTGGAATACAATAATGAAAACCAATGATAAAAAACTATTATAAAATTATTCTTTAATTCGAAAACCACAGGAGCATCCCTTAGGCTGAATCCGCGCTGAAATAAGTACATCCCATTAAACACGAAACTTTCAATACAAATGCTCTTGTTTCTATTCAAATCAGCTGCTGTGTATTTATTTCTGTACGCCTCAATCCACACGAATGGTTTCCTTTGTTGAGGCAGAGAGGGAAGGAAAGAGCCGCAGCTCAAAGCAAAACTCAATTTTATGTGGGGGCAAAATGTGCAACACACAGCAAGACAAAGACATTGTTGTGCGGGGGAGTACTACATGTATGTGTATATAAACATAATCTATATATAAAAGTACGGATATACACGTACAAGTATATTTATATACAATTTCAATTGATTTGCCGTCAATTTCATTTGCCAAAGTTTGGTGAATATGCGCTCAAAGGCACAAAAAATATGACAGTAACAACAAATGCCAGATTCTCGTACAAGTATGTACATATATAGGGCAGACATGCCGTGGGCATGATGAATTATTATACTCTCCATCCATCCATCCTTCCATATCTCATACACATTACGCATACGCACCGTATACATGAATTCAAGTCCACGCCGAGCCGAGTCGAGGCCGCCTGTCAGCATGTTTGTCCGTTGTACATTGTCTAACCACCATCATTCATCATTCGTGCAACAGAGAAACGAGCAACAAGCAACACATTGTACCCATTGTTGTTGTCTGGTTAGTTTGGTTACCCATTTTCCGCTCATTTTCCCCAGTACGGGTAAGTCTCCCTGTTCCGCCATCGATATGGCGTTGATAGAACGCACACACACTCATCGCGCGGACTTTGTTAATGTACTCTATGTATATATTTCTTTTTTTTGTCAGATACATATCTATCTGCATTGTATACTCGTATACCGAAGGCGACCCTCAGGCAATTATCCGTTCAGTTTGGTGCCTGGCTAAGCCCCAATCCCCAAATGTGCTAATCCATCAATACAGCTCAACTGTAGCTTCAACACTCTGTCTTTCTTTTTTTTTGGGGCATGTACATATACGAGTTGTTGCCTCAATTTTCCGTACATCGAAGGCCAGTGAATGCTCAACGAAAGCTGCAACTTATTAGAAGTATTCAATAACTTTGTTCCCTCGCGATGGAAAGCTTTTCTCCTTTCGTTTTCGTTTTCGTTTGTTCATTTTGCAATTTTTGAATGTAATTTCATTTCTTTCTTGATGATTGGATATAAATTGAATGTGTGGAGGAACATGAAAGTAAATATTGAACGAACGAAGGAAGGAATATGGAAATACATCTATTATAAATGTATGGAAATATTTAAGAATAAATTATAAGTATTGTTTGACCCTCTGAAATACTAATTCAATTTGTCTTATCAAATGGACTGGTGCTGTTTAAACCTTGAATTAAGTAGAACAAAAGTAGACCAAACAAAATGGTCAGCCATTAGGAGAACTCAAATGTATAATTGCCAGGTAAAAGTTTTCGGCGGCAACTGTGAGACCATTAAAAATCACTTCAAACTGCTTCGACTGCAAATTTTATTTTACATTTTTTCTCATTATGTGCAAGGAAGTTGGACACGAATTATGGCCAATGTATACTAGCCATTAAAACTTTTTTGTTTGCCAGACAACGATGAACAGAGAAAGAGAGAGAGAAGTATCAACAGACAGAGAGATAGGAAAATAAAGTGTATGAAAAGAAATGGAAAAGCGGAATAAGCCAAGGTAGGAGCTTGAGGTGGAAAACGAGTGTTCGACCAAAACTTTTACAATAATCATTTCGGCTCTGACTGACTGGCCATGTCCTTGGCAGAAATTCAAGCAAGCATTCCCCGAACATGGTCCAAATGTACATACATATAACTATGTAAAACATAAAACAACAAAAATGTGGAACGAGACCAAGAGATGGATAGAATTGTGTGGGAGAAAAGAACAACTGAGATAGAAAAATCAGCAGAGCGAAGCTCCACAAATGCGCGACTTTCAATACAAAAAGAACAATTATGTGCGAAGAGGAGAGTGGGGAAGGAGGCGAGTCCTGGCCAACTAGCTGCCAATGACAATGGCAAATGTATGTATGTACATATGTACATGAAACGGCAACAGGCAACTGTGGGTACAAAGTCGTTCTGAATTATTGAGCGTCCAACTTGTTCAAAAATCCAAGGATATCGCTGTACCTTAACCCGACTGAATTCTCTTGGGAAAACCTTGCGAATAGTACGAATGGCAAAAGAATACCGGCATCTAAAAAATTTAGGTAGAAACTGTCCAAAAGAAGGTTAGATGACATGATGAAAGAAGAAAGGAAACTGGGAGTGAAAGCTGAAAATGTGAAAGGAGAGGATGGTACACTCCTAAACTCTCGCCTATATAGCATATTCGTGTATATATGTATATGTATATACCTTAATTTACTCATTTTTAGCGAAATGTTAAAAATTTACCAAGCTATTTCGCAAAGCGAATGCTACATAGAGCGTGGGGCAAGAGGAAAATGGAAAGGTGCAGAAAAAGAGGAGTCGTCGACTGGGTAAACAAGGGGAATGGATGGGATGGGGTGGAGAGAAAAGCTGAAAACAATTAAAAACTTTGAGGCGCTGGCGAAGAATGCGCCAAGAAATGTGGATGAGTTTATGGCGTTTTAATTGCTGTGGGCGTGAAGGGGAGGGCGGGAGTGCGGGAGTGCATGACGAAAAACAAGAATGAGGGCTGGAAGATGGAAGATGGACGGAAGTCATTAGGGCATGGAAAATAGGAGGCGAAGTGCGAAGTGTTGGGGATTGAAAGAAATTATTGTTTCCTCCATAAAGTTCGTTCAAATATGATTTTATTGGATTTCTCTTTATCATACATTCAAATCAATTGCTTTCATTCTGGAAATCTATTATCTTTTAATCTTCGGTACGGCTACCGACTAATTACAATGACCTTTCACCTCAGTTTATATGCCTCCAAGGTTTGAGCACTTCTTACGATACGAATGTAGCGCACGGGTTGCGCCCCGAAGTAAAAGTGGCATTTTTGCTTGATCCTACACGATCCCAGTGAGTCTTCTCGAAAGAAACTACCACGAAGTACACACCATTACAACCAGTCACTAAAATAAAGTCGATTACATAAACGCTGCTCAGATCGAAGACATCATCATCTCGGGTTTGCATCATTCACCACCGGCAAAACGAGTGCACGGTAGGGCTTTCTTTCCAGTGGTCATTTTCACCAGATCATAGACAGTCTTAAGTGGGAGACGTACTAGCGAGATGAGCGCTTGATGTGCACACAGTGTGAAACTTCCTCATGCTTATGTAGATCGGACCCATTGCGGTCTATAAAGTTAAGGCATTCTTCAATCAGCTGGTTGAGCGTGCGCCATTCAGGATCATGCACACATTGCTGAGATCCAGTTTGTGCAGCAGAGATTTTTTTATGCCAGCATCGACGTTCTGCAACCCGTAAAGATGGGCCAAATTGAGCACGCCGATGATTGCATCCAAGTCCAGCTTGGACTGAGGCTGCGTCCCCGAGTAAATATACTCGAGGTTCGATACCAAACCGCCGTAGGGCATTCGCGGAAGTACTCACTGCGGGTCGCTATAATAGGCGGTGTGCCGGCAGCCGCTGCTCTTCCACCACGTAGAGCTTGTTCACGCCCTATAGACGCCCACACCGAAGCCGAGGACGATGTCTTCGATAATCTTTTCCTTAGTAGAGCTTGCGGACAACGACGACGTTTTGTTTTCCTGGCTGCTTTAAACGTATTCTTAATATAGTAGTATTGGTGATTTAGATTTAATACAATTGATCAAATTACAAACGAATACTAATTCTATTGTTGACTCTTTATCGATTGCAGAAAATGTTTCAATAGAGATGGCAAAACTTTCACGACGTGCCTCGTCGTCTGCAGCAACGCCATCAACAGCAAAAACAGCAACAGACACTGCAACAGCCCCACCTCCTCCTCATCCTAGTCATGCCACAGGCTTGCCTCAACGCATCACCCGCCGTGCCACCAGCAACCATAACAACAACAACAACAGGCCCCGAGCGGCAGCACTCATTGATACCAGCGCCGATGTCCTGCAAGAGACTCCATCGCCATCACCGACACCGCCGACGCACACCAACAGCAACAACAACACTGCCACACGAAATGAAAGCACCGCTGCACCTGCACCCGCCCACAACACGGCCACGCCCTACATGCCACTGCTGCCTCCGGGCGAGCGAAATCTGACCGACGCCGAGAATGCCGCTGAGCGAGCAAGGATCCGGGAGGAGTTCTTCGCCACCTACGACGTGATGACCGGCGTGAGGATCGCGGCCACGCTGGGCGGTTTCTTTGGCCTAATGGTGTTCCTCATCGTGTGGAAGAGTCGGAGCAGCAGCAACGAGACCCTGAAAGTGCTGAAGGACCCCAAGATGGCGGCAGTGGCCTCCTTGTGCATGCAAGAGGAGGAGGAGCGCGAGATCCAGGAGGCCATTGTAGCCACGGGGATGTCCATATACCCGGATGAGTACGATGCCATGGTGTACCGCCGCCAGCGGATGCTCTCCTTGGGCAATGTGAGTGCCCCGCCATTGCTGAACCGAGGCTATCGTTGCGGATCAGTGGGTAGGTTCATCAAGGGATTTCTTACAATCTACGAATCTAAATCCTCCTGCTTTTTTTTAGGTGGCGTGGGTGCTGGTGTCCCAATGGGCTATAGCTATCTCCTGGAGCCACCGCGACGCTTCTCCTACTCGGCCATGTCCGCCGGCGGCGGTCCGCCCGGTCCCATAGGACGTCGCAAGAGCGGCTCGGAATCCTCGCGCATCTTCAGCAACTATCCCATGGGCGGCAGTTTTGGCACCGACGACTACTTTGTCGAGACCGAGGACGAGCTGGAGCACGAGGAGTACATGCAGAGGGATGCTCGCGACGAGCCGGAACACCCACATCATCAGCGCACAGATTCCACGCGCAGCAAGCAGGGTTTTCTGTCCGTACCCATGGCGGTGAGTAAACAACCCATTGAAATACAATGCCTCCAACCAATATCCTTCTCTTGTTCTCATCCTTAGGGTCACGACTCACGTCGCAGCAGTGCCATGACCTGCTGCAGCACGGACAGCTCTTACCTAGAGCGTCGCACCTCCGCCTATACGCTGGGCATGAGCAATCTGCCGCCGACGCTGCAGAGGAAGCTATCGACGGCATCGCGCACATCAAGTATCGAGAACTGGGACTATTACTACCCGGACATCCAGGTGATACAGCCCACGCCGAAGGCTTCGCCGTGTCCGTCGGAGCGCAGCATTCACGATCCCTCGACATCGACGCCGCCGCGGAGCTCGTGCCTGAGTGCGCCCAGCGTTAAGCGAAAGCACAGCATTGTCTCCTACGATCCGGACAGTGCCCAGGCGGGACGTAAGCAGCAGATTCATTCGATAAGTGCGGATACCGTGGACGTGTATCCCTACAACCAGACCGCGCTGGCGGACACTGTGGAACTGGGGCTGCCGCTGCCCAAGCCCATTCAATCGGCCCCGCCTACCAGCGCACATCAGGCCTTCCACTTCTGTGACTCGCCCTCGGAAGAGCTCCGTTTGGGAGTGAGGCGAAAGTTGACTCTCGTGGAGCTTCAGCGGAACGAGAGCAACAACAACAGTTTCCCGTATACGGCCAACGCAGCGGCACCTGCGAGCACGGGTGGGGATGGGGGTACGGGTACGGGTACGGTGGCCACCTCCAGCAGCATCAGCGTGGACAGTACTCCCGTGAGCTTGGACCGCCTGAATGGTAGTCTCAGCCTTGGGACCATTTCAGTCTCGGCCAAGGTGCCGCTGAATGTCAATGGAAATCCCGAAAAAAGAGCGCCACTCGCCTCACTAAGTTCCTTTAAGATTTCCTCGCTGGAGTGCCCCGACTCCGAGCTGCGCTCCCTCGAGGAGGACTCTGTGTTCGGGCTGGAGAGTCCCGCAGACACCGACGACGATATGCAGCAGTTGAGCAGCGACAGCGAGGAGCAGGCCGTGGCCATGGCGGTCATCGAAGCAGCTGCCGCAGCGGCAGCAAAATCAGCAGCGGCACAGGGCCAGGGCACATCGGTGCAGGCCAGTGGCGACCTTAAGCCCAATCCCTTGCCCCAGGTCATTGCTTTGAAGCGGATGAGCCTAAGTGGCGTGGCTACGGCGGGTGGGGGAGGAACGGGCGCCCGGCCACGTCGACCGCTGCTCCAACGGCATCGCACCATCAGTACCGCTTCCAGCGATCGTGTGTCTCTTATTGGGCCACACAGTGGGCAGTCTTTGCCGCTGCAACAGTTCCAGGGCCATGTTCTGCCAGTGACTGCCGAGGCGGTGCCTCTCGAGACACACTTTGGCGCCATTGTAAGCCACAGTCCACCGCGCCGGGGCCCGCTGCTGCAGCAGTACAGTGATCCGCAGAGCTTGCCCACGACGACGACAACCACAACGACCACCACCACGGAGGATGACACTTGTTCCACACTCAACACGGAACTGGGACTCCTCGACGCAGTGGCCGGAGGTGGAGGAACCGGTGGCGGAGAGTCCAATACCCACACACAGTACAGCAGTATGAACACGGTGATCAGCGTGGGTCGCTCCACTCCCAGTCCCGGCCATAGTCCCAGTGCCAGCGCCAGCGCCACCACAAGTCCCCGGATGGACAATAACTATGCGTGTTCCCAGGCCCGCGAGGCTCCGGCACTGCAACCAGCTCAACTGCCACTCAACTCTAGACTGGTGCACGATCACGATCCCTGCCCCTCCTCCAAGTCCGACTCGGTGATAGCTACACGCCCACAGAGCATTTGTGTGCCCTCCTCCCTCAAGGACCTGATACTGCGAAAGGGCACTGCTACCGCGGGCATCAGCAAAAGCGCCACGAACCTAAGCCTGCCCAGCAATGAGGTGGGAGCCAGAGCCACCACCACTTCAACAACGACTGCGACGCCCGCCGTCATGCTAGAGCTTCCCCTGATCAGGCTGCCAAACGACGACGAGAACGAAAACGAGAACGACAACGAGGATGTGGACGATGATAATGTGGAGGCTGGCGAAGACAAACGCGATCCCAGCCTGCCCGGCACTTCCAGAAAATGGTCCAAGGAGACACTCTTCTAGCCCAGTTTGTTGCCGCTGCTAGTACGCATGCAGTTCCGTGTGCCGGGCCAGTATTTAAGAGCTTAGCAACCGACTTTTGTATGCATGGTGATGGGCTGATGGGCTGCAGTGAAAACCGCCAAGTCAAGATTGATTCTACTGATTCATTTTGTCTGTGATAATATCGAGAATCGGACTCTTAAATGATCAAGAATGGGATCCCTAACTAACGATTTTTTCTTTTAAATAGTTTTCTCAGTATTCTCAAAGTTACTACTACTCAATATCTTTTATTCTGTAAATATATCCATCCGTTAGCACAAGTTGATCATTAGCTGATGATATTTTCTTCCGAATAATTTAGAAGAATCCTTTTTATAATTCCTAAATCCAATCTTTTGTCCCTGAAGTAATCATGTCTTTGATGATGGAGAGGTTTTCACTAAGCGCATGGTCTGGCAGCCAATTTCCTGGGTTGCTCAAAACAGCCATCATGAAACGAGTATTTAGGCATATTAATATTGGGAGGATTAGATTAAGCGCATTTAGTCACAGTATAAGTTAGTTTGGGTTACTCCGAGTCGGCACTGACTGACCGATGAGTGTGTATGCAGATACCAGTAGCTATAGTACACGCCTACTATACCTATATGTATAGCTATTTCTTGAGGTTAGGAAGAAGGTTAAGAGCAGCAACAATGTATTCGTACTTAGAGACTGTTGTCTATTATTGTTAATAGGATTCTGTAAGTTAAGTAGTGATACTCGGATTTATTTTCACACTATCTATATCTACAGAAAGAGATGAGATGTGTACGAATATATATATTTGTATGCAGACAAAAGGAGTGGAGGTTAAAGTTTATATATATTTCTATAGATATATCGATCGCCAGCAGCTAGAATATATCACTCTCTCTATCTCAATCTATTTCTATCCCTGAAATGGAATGAAAACTGTTCTAGTGTCTTAAACAGCAGCCAAATACTTAAAGTATTGTAAATTAGAATATAGATTGCACGACAAGGACAACTTTTCAACGATCAATATCAATCTATCCTTGCAACTGAAGTACTCTGACCGAAACAAGCCTAAGGACCTCGAAGGGTCTACTCAAAATGCCTAAATGTCTCTTATGTGCAGAATTTGTAGGAACATCTCCACATCTCCTTCGTCCTGCCTATTCGAACACAAATTGTTGGTATTATAATAGAGTTGTTGTCAGAAAATAGTGTTACGAAAACGAATATAAATTTAAAAATTATTACAAAAGAATATAAAGAAAATACATATATAAACAACTTCCTAACTCATCCCACCTACGCATCTCTATTTTTCTATGAAACTGCATTTGCTCCGAAAGTGAGGAAAGCTAAAGCAGATTAATGTGAAGTGGAATACAAATCAAATAACTGGTATTATTCAAATCAAAATACACAGTTTGTTGTTGAATACAACAATTTATTGTATAATAGAACTGAATTTCGTCAAAACCCAAGCAACCGCTAGAAACGAAACTCTAGAGACTTTCTCTCACATGCCTGAGCCTCAGCCTGAGCCTAATTTGTACCTTTCCTATGCATAAGTACGAGTATACATATGTATATGCATGTATATTTATATACAACCAATACTATGTATAGATCGAGCCCTATTTGAATATTTTTAAAAACTAGTGAGTATTTTGTACGATGAGATCCGTCTCAAATGGCGCCTAGGAAATGGTATTAGAAATTGGGAATTAAAGCGGTACGAGTATATCAAAAAAATATATAGAAGAAAAAAAAATCATCTAATTGTTGGTTATACATATGCTGAAGATTGAAGATGGTAAGTAAGAGTAAGAGGAAATGATGGCTCGCAAATATTGTAATTGTAGCGTTGATTTGTTTCAAATGAGCAAATATACATATAAACTAATAACGTAGCTAATTATACATAAACATACATATATAATACATTTAATGAAAACAATGAGCAAACCTAACTTGTATAAGATAATGAGTAGCAGAACCAATTGTTAATTCTAAGCATAACGAATATGTATTTAAAAACTGAGCTGTTGTATTACATGAACAATAAAAAAGAAATGAAATGCAGACGCGCATAATGAAGACAAAATGTTGGATGTCGTTTCCAAACATTCAGTTAGCGAATTTCGAATATATATACACAGATTTACTAGTCTAGATATCTTTGATTCATTTTCGTTGCGACGTTTTCTTTTATACTTTTGTACTAACACCAACATTTCCGACTTTAGCCACAGCCCGGCCTGATTTCCATATCCATATTACATGCATATATGATTTCCATATTTATACGAGTACATACGAGTGTATGTACATATGTACGTAGCTCTGTTAAACTTGAAGAATAATTGATCAAATTGGTAAATGAAAGCAATTGAAAATCGATACAAAACAAATATAAGTACTATTACAAAACAGAATCATTAATGCAAAAGATTACTTTAACGAAAGAATTAAAATTTTTAAAAAGTACGAGCTATTTAAAAACCAAAACTTAGTTAAATGTTATATATACCTATACATATATAAAAGAAGAAAATTGATGTAAATGTTAGCGATATCAATGAGAATTGTGACAAGTGTAAAATAAACCAGAAGAAAATGCATATACACAAAAGTCTTTGTTTCGTGCCACAGTCGTTTGTATTTGGGATCAATTTGTTAGACCTAAAGATGGTACTCGAACACTAATCTAAGCTCCTACTGCCGCCCTCCACCTTAGTATCTGTACTTGGTGGAGTAGTCCTTTGGCGATACGACCAGACCACGACCCTTTCGCGCTCCTCGATACACGGTCTCCACAATGTCAATCATCTCCTGCTTGTCCTCCAGCGGCCAGTTGATTTTGTTGTTGTTGCCGGTGCCCAAATCAATCATGATGTGCTTGTTCCGGAAGAAGAACATCACCGTGCACGGATCGTATAATTCGTACATTTTGTTGAAGTCCGGCACCTCGGTTATGTCCACCAGATAGATGACCGCAAAGTTCTTCACCTTCTCCGCAATGCTGTACATGACTTCATCCATTTTCATACAGGCCGGGTCCCAATCGTGGCCGAAGCGTATAACCTGCGGGGAGCACAGTGTGGATGACATCGGAGGAGGCACAGTTGCCTGTGAATCGCTTACCACAACACGATCTTCTTCGGAGAGTATGGCCTGGTCCACTTGCCAGCCATTGTGTAAATGTGGGAGCATGTACGACATCTTGGAGAGTTTGTTATTTCAAATTACAGCGAAAAAGGTAAAACATAAACAAAGTGTATAGAGATGGGACTTAAATTTATTGATAGTATTATGTCGATATGATATAATATATCGATATAAATTTACAATCAGGGTGACTGTTTACGGTACTTTAAACTTTTCGGTATTTTTAGGTCAAAATTAAATCGATATGAATTGTGCTGTCGCGACTTATCGAAACACTGCCATTTGAATTGCGGAACAAAACAAAGTAATTTTTGTATTAGATTTTCCCGTGGACGGCCGTTTTAAAGACCGGCGGCGCCCTTTGCCGCAGCTGTGGCCCACTACTCTGCCCTGCCTCAGCCCCCAGACCACCCCGGATGTGCTCTACGCGGAGTGTTCATCAACAAGTAAGTGGCACAAGAGCAAATCGGGCAAAACATTTCAAACCATTAATCCGACCACAGAGCAGACCATCGCTGAAACTGGCCTGGAAACTGGGACACGCACTGGCTACCGGCAATACCTTCGTCCTAAAGTCAGTCAATGTGGTGCCTGGTTTCGGTGGAGACGGCGCTGCCCTGCCCAATCACCCAGATTGCCTCTTTTAGCTTCCTGGGCGAACTCGCAGAAGCCTCGCAACATTGCCGTGCATGCCATGAAGGCGAGGCGTCTGCTCTTCTCGACAGATGTCGGGAGCCATCAGGTCATCATTCGGGCCCGAGTCGAAGGCAATGAGCGTATGGAGCTGGAAGGAGTCACGGCCTGGACCAACAGTCCGAAATACTAATCCCATTGCAAGCTAATCGATGGAAAGAACAAGTAAGCAACGAATATGGGGATAATCTGGACACATGTGTAATCCCCTGCTCGCGTCCTTACCGCCTAGGTGGGATTGGTGTAATGGCTGGACGAAAACTGTCATCGGAGAGCGTCGTTCCGCGGACCTGCAGCGTCTGTCGCAGATCACCGACATCCTGCGGCGAAAGTCCTGCGCAATCACACGTGTCTTCACGGTCGCCCCAATTGTTTCCACAACTGCTTAGCCAGCGGGGTGTGACACGCAGTCCTCACGACGTCTGCTCTGCTCGTGCCCCAAGCATCTGATGCTATCCGGGAGTAGTGACATGAACAACGACTGTATATCCGTCTTCTGTCGCTGCGATGGTACCACCTGTGACAACTATGACAATGTCCACGATGAGGCCGACTACTGCAAGCGGCCAAGAGACTTTCAGTGTCCCATCAACAAAGTGAGTGGAAAGACACGATAACTGCACAAACCATATCGTGGTATGTATAGACATCCAATATTCAGAAAATTTCTAGACTATTTTTCCAGCTGCATGAATCCCTGCAAACAAAATACCACCCAAGTAGCAGAGGAACTATATGATAATTCGAAACGACGGTGTCCTTTTACTTATGGGAACATTTTTTGGAATCCATAAGCATCTGTTAATGAAACAAAACGGAATGAAATGCCAATGTGTCCTTTCACATATGGGAATTTATAAGAGTTTCGAAGTACAAGTGCAGAAGATTCAAAATCTTTGGCACGATTCGACAGATCCGCTGCCCCTCGGCCAGTACCGAATGGGGTTCATATATCCTTCGCTGGCAAAATAAAAATCAAATACGACGAAGAATATTAAAAATTTCTTTTTAAATTAAATTATGTTTTATTAGCCGAAAAATAATTCGTAGAGTCCCTTATCAGTTCAAGTATTTCTGCTTAAAGCTATCTATGTGTTCGAGCACCTTAACCGTCATGTTATTGATGTATTCATCTCGGCCCTGTTCGGTGAAGTAGTCCGGCGCACTGCGCCGCGAAACGTAGTGGTTTGGCAGGTTGACCTTGTGCCGTCCAATGGACTTGATGATCAGCCACAGAATGTAGAAGCTGAACCACACCGTAAAGTACAGAGGGATGTACCAGAGCTTGCGGCCAATGTAGAAGTAACTGTACTTCTTGACACGTGGCTCTGGCGGCGGTGGTGGTGGTGGGGGCTCAGTTGGAGGAGGTGGTGGTGGGGGTGGTGGAGGAGGAGGAGGTGGCGGTGGGTGGTGAACGTGATGGTGATGGTGCGGGTGATCATCGTAGAGAACTTCGGGATAGGTGTCGTCTGGATAGGAGGCGAGTGGATAATCAAAGTGTCCCGGGTAATGACCGTGGTGGTGATCGTGTATGGAATCATGGTCTGGAATGTGGTCATGATCGTGACTGTGATCTTCCGGCTTGGGAGCCGCCGATTCAGGGTGAGATTCAAGCCATCCAGGCGGGGGAGTAGCGTACTCCATGCTGGGATCGTACTTGTGATCATCGTTTCCATGCGATCCGTCATTATGGAGGGCAGGAAGAGGTGCGTTATCACCGTTATCTCCCCCATCATCTCCAGTGTTAGGCATACCCATATCGCCTCCACTGTTAGCGTCCCCTCCATCGGCATCCCCAGCATCCTTTCCATCCTGATCCTTTGTTGGCAGATTATCCATGGCACTGGCGGGCAATACGCCAATCACATCATCACTTCCTTGATCATCATCTGCTACCGGAGTCGCGCTGGGAGAACTCGCGGCTGCATCCTTATCCCCATTACCTCCGACCAGAGGCCCAGGGTACTTGTAGCCAGTGGAAGCCGGCATTGGAGGTCCCGGATAGACATAGCCAGCGTTGCTCAGGCCACCCGATGCGGGAGGTAAGTAGCTTGTTACGGTATCCGATGGCAAGGCCGCCTTTGGGTCCTGGGAGGGCGACGGATACTTTGTGTTCAGGGGCGGAAAGGAGTAAGCATCTCCTGGCGGGACATATGAAGGCACCGAATTGGAACCAGAGGCAACCTTGCCATCCTGGCCATGGGAATGATTGTGTTTGTGCTGCCCCTTGAAAAGACCAGCGGCAGTGCTCTCACCGGGAGTGAAGCGGTCGCTGATTCCTGTAAAGTCCAAAGTTGTTTAACAAAATTTAAAGTTATGCGTAGACTGAATTCAAAGGAGACTCTCCCCACATACCTTTCTTGTAATAGGGCTTCGCAGCCGGATAGCGACTCGGGTTCCGTGATGAGGAAGACGAGTACCGGGAGGGACTTTCCTGTGGATAGATGCGAGTCTGTGCAGGTCGGGAGCTGTATTGCTGGGCCTTTAGCAAGGGGGTTATTAGCTGACCAAAGGGATAGGCTGTCCGATAATCGACGGCCCGTCCTGTGGAGGCACCTTCGATACTCGGCTCGGGATGGAGCTCCTCATTAGCAGCATTTGATTCCTTCTCTTCGGTCGCTCCCAAGGGAGTGACAAAAACGGGTGAACTGGTTGTCTCCGCGACCGGCTCCGGTTGATGGTTGTAGGGAATAGGCGGAATCGTTGTTGTGGAGGAGGAAGTCGCCACTGGCGCCTCAGTGGTGGAGAAGACATTCTCACTGGAGTTGAAGCTGTGTGCGGACGGGATGGGAGTCAGTCAGAGTCTCTTTCGGCCATCCTTTTGTCCAGGATTTACTTACGTTTTGGGGAATATCAGATCCGTATTTAAGGCCTTGAATATCCGTGGTCCCTGATCGCCAGTGATCAACACTTGAGAGTATGCCCGAACCTGTTCACAGCCAAAGAAAAGGACAACACACGCCAGCAGCACCCACCTAGCGCGTTCGACTCTCATACTTAAATATGGTATCTGTGTCTGTATCTGTATTTCTTCGCACACTTCAGGACACTATCATACGAGTAAATGATTAATTTCAACACTTAGCCTCTAATGAAAAGTAGTTATTAGGGCTATACACTCGTCATATCCACTGGTAGGAGCTCCGAAATGGCACCTTATCGCGTCGCGCGAAGTTCTCGAATACCACGATGTACTACAGTTGGAATGGTTTTATTCGACTCCCTGGAGCCCGAGTTCGTGATTTCGTTTTTTCATGACCCAGATTCCCGGGCAAAAGGTGCTACTAGAAGTGATCTATATACTGCTGATCTATCCGTGCACAACAGCAGAGGCAGCAACAGCAGCAGCACTTTCATTTCGTCGACGTCGTAGGTGCTAATCAATTGTTACTCCACATTTCTGATCACATCTTCCGTTATACATAAGTTCCTCAGCACGGTTCTGCCACCAAACGAATCTCTTCTCCATGTGCTTATGAGATATGTAACTGCCATGTCCATCCATATTGTTTTTGTCAGTAGACTGGCTATCTGGCCGGGGCGTGTGCCAGCAAATCTTGCACCTAATTAGTAACATTTTTCATCTCCATGAGTTGTTGCTCTACGAGTATGCGGCCCGCTGCAGAAAAGAATGTCGTATGATAATGAAAATTTAATATTAATACATCCTCCTAAATATCGGTACACCAACTATGGTTAATTATACCAATTCAATTACGGTTACTAGTCCGTCTAACTGAAGACGTGAGTAACCCAAATTAAAAGATTTCTAGTCTGAATTAAATACAAAAATATTTGTCAACTCCCTTGGCATGGGGATGTCTGATCCGTTGGATGTGGGTCAGAAACCCCGGCAATTGCTAGTGCAACGTGTCTCTCCCGATTAGCACCTGGTCGGGCGTGCTATATACTGTTGTCTCCGCTCGTTCACATCTCAATTTAATGCTATCCGAAGCGAACCAGTTCTCGGTATAACGCAGAATGCTTGCCACTTTCCCGACGGACCTTTCAAATTCTCATTACTTTTACTTGTTTAAAGATTGGGTTTTCATTTTTAAGAGATATACATACATATACATATATATTTCATACAGTAATTGCAAGTCTTTTTAAATGTTAGTACAGAGAGGAACACGAAACAAACCGTTTTAGAAACAAGAACATAAAATGCGTTTCGATGGGGGGTGTCACAGAACTAAAATAAACACAATCGTGTGGAAGGCTATTCGGTAAAAATGGGTAAAAGTACGAGGCCGCAGCTAAAAACGAATCAAACAAATGCTGCTGCTGCACAACAGACACGAAATGAAGTATCCTAAAGGTTAGTTTGTAGCATTAAGTAATCAAGAAAAGCGTGTCCAATGTGGTGGTTATGTATATACAGCCTTGGCCCTAGGTACATACGTAACGCCGGCGCCACTGCCTAGAAGGGCGAATTCATGCCCAATTTTGTGCCGAAATCGAGTCGCGCACGGCGCTGATAGCGCGCATTGACCCTGGAAATTGGAGAATAGATATTTTTATTAAATATCAATTAAATCAATTATTTGTTCTACCCACTTGTTCTCCTGGAACTTGGCCAGCTCGCTGACAATCCAGCTGAGCAGGCTACTCCCATATAGGATCAGAATGGTCATCCAGAGGTTTGGCAGTTGTTTCTGTAGGAAGTCATCCACGGCCAGTTGTATAGCTAGGATGCCAAAATGGAACATGACCAGCCCCAGACAGGTGATGGCCCAAATGCGATTGGTAAACGGATTTCGCTGCCAGATCGCATGATCCCGATGCACAAATGTAATGGATATGCAGGCTAAAAGTTGATTAGAAAACCTTAAGCAAACAGTTAACAGAGTCAAAGGTAATGGGGTTACCAAAGTGTAGGAGTATGGCCAGCAAGGCACAGCTGCGGGCCAAGTGGAGAAATTGATAGAAATTCTCATCATCGAACTCGCTCCCAACCTGAATCTGCTCTTCTGCACTGAATAGGGGACTGAGGCTAGACTGTGATATGCACATCCAGTAGGTAACGAGCTGTACGAAGAGAAACAAATTCACTGTCCAGAGAAAATCAATTTAAAAACAACTCCACTTACCAGAGATATAATGGGAACGAGGAATTTGCAGCCATAGCACCACATTACAAATGCAAAAGCACGAGAATCATAGTCGGTCTGCTTCTTGCTGGTCGCCCGATTCATAATCTTGGGATCCACATCGATATGGGCCAGCGAGATGGCAATCAACGGCACGGGCACAGACATTAGATAGATGGCCAGCAGGGGCGTGAGAATCGGCGGCAGCGAGAGGCACGCGCACAGCACATTCATAATGGATATGGTGCCCGCACAGCAGGCCCAGTACTGTATGCAGTTCCACAGGCCCAGTGAGAAGCGGCGTGATAGCTCAATTATGGCCACCAACGAAAGTGGGTCGTCGCGACAGATGGCTATGGAGCAGGGAAGGGAGTTGAGCAGTCGGCTTAGATACAGAGGGGAAACGGTGTGAGCCGGTGACTGCATGGCACGTGCCCCGGCGCCGTGCAGACCGCACTCCAGAAGCTGCTCATCGTCGGACGCCGACGCCTTGCCCTTGTCTGCCTGGCGCTGCCAGAGCCACTTGTTGTGCTGGATATTAGCCTCCGTGTAGGCGTCGACGTCTTGACAGACCTGCGGATATAGAGGCTCCACAGCAATGCTGCAGTCCGCCTGCAGGAAGATATCGGCATTTGCGTTGCTAGCCGAGCTGCCCAAGCAGACCACAATTTCGCCGTAGGACTGCATGATGTCGAGCATTTGGCGCGTCGCCTCCGCAGAGCAGTCCGTAAAGAGCGACACCTGCAGCGGTACATTGTCCACCTGCTCCAGATGGGGCCGGATGTTCTCAATGCCGCGCGGCAACTTGGCTCGATTCGACATGTCAAAGTTGATGGGTGCGCTCTGATCGGTACTCTCGGTGAGGGTGCTCAAGGAGCGGCAGTTCTCGTCCATGGCAGAGTCCAGCGAGTGTCGCTGCTTGAGCCTATTGGGATCTGTCTCCGTCTCCAGCTCCCCGTCGCCTGCCGGCTCCATGTGCTGCAAGCTCTCCGAGTTCTCCCCACTTCCGGCATCAACTCCATCCCCTCCATTAGCGTCTTCAGACCTCAGAGCCGCATTCAATGGGTGGCACTCATCCGGATTGGAAATGGCCCCGGGTGCTGAGGAGCTGAGCGTTTTCGAGGACTCCAAGTTGTTGGGCGGCCCGAGCAGATAGCTGATATCCGGACCAGCAGCGGCGTCCACATGGTCACCTACAATATCAGTGGGTTTAGCAATGGACGAGGCTATTGCCTCAACTGCGGGTGCGGATTCGGATGCAGGTGTGGGAGCAGGTGCGGGTGCGGGAGGCGATATGTACATGACTTTGGCACTTTGAGGATGAGTGTTATGGGCATGGGCATCGCCCACGCAATCAGCTGTGGTATCAGTGGTGGCAGGTTCTGAGGTGGCTTGATTTTTACCAGCGTTTTTGGGCGAAATGCCTCGGGAGGTGACTGCTGCAGTAGCAGTAGTCTTCTCTTTCTCACTCTCCGGCTCCGGTTCGCTGAGCAGCGAAATATGGCAATTCCAGCCGGATTCGAGGCCCATCTTTTCGGAGAAGACGCGAGAGCGGAGCTCGTTCTCCTTGCTGAAGTGGACGAAGCGGATGCATGCCCGCTCCAGGCGCTCTACCAGCCGCACTATGTCGTTCTGGGCCTGGTACTGCATGGTCACCATGCCGATGAATACCTGGTGGCACTGCATTTCGAAGCAGCCCTCCACATCGTTGCAATCCTCGTCTTTGTTCTCCGAGAACAGCAGCGAGTCCGTGCTGATGCTGTGGCTTAGCTTCACATGATGCCCGCCCTGGAAGTCGCAGTGCAACTTGTCTACGTGTTGCATGCGCAATTTTGACTCCGGTGGCAGCTCAAGGTACAAACACTCGCCGCCGCTTTGCTGCGGGCCGCTCAAGGCTCCGTGGATTCCATGCCGTAGCGGTCGATAGGCGAAGGCTGTGCAGTAGGAGGTCAGCGCGCTGCGCTGGTAAAAGTCCAGGGCTCGCTTGCGATCTTGCGGCGACAACGGGTGCAAGTCTTGGCCATCCCAGAAATCGTCACAACAGTCCAGAATAATATCCGCCGTGCCCTGCGTAAAGAGGGACAGATAGCCCCCCGGATTCTCACGCATCACCACGGACAGGGAATGCGGAAATGGAACTTTCACCTTGGACGAAAGCTGCAGCTGTCGCGCAAAGCGTATATCCCGACGCACCACATCTGGTTGCTGTGGAACATGAGAAATTCCTTTAGTTGATAGTCGTAATTGGGCTGCTTTTGAATTCGGCTGCTTACCAAATGCCGATAGCTGGCCAGCTGTCCCTCCAGTGCAAAGCGATCGGTGGCATGATCGGTGAAACCAATCTGCTTGGCCAGCTCGCACAGGCAGCGTCTGACAACGAATGGGAAGAGAACCGATTAGAACTGGTACAAGATGCAAGGTCGCCGCGTGAGCATGCAAGCAAGCGTATCGGAAAGGCATGGATGGGTAGGTAGACGGGCGACTATATTTAAGCGTTCTCGACAATAATAGAATGTTTGTTACTTAAAATAGCATGCCAAATGGGAATGGGGCTAAGGAGAGATGGGGCGTGGACGGGCTCGATTTACAAGTACAAATAAATGAAAATGAAAATAGAATCAGAATCAGTTCAAGGTTCGATGTATTATTATTTCAAGGTGCAAGGTTCGAGTGCGCAATGCGGGTAAATGATAATCGGCTAATATTTTAGTAAGCATCTGCTGGAGTTACTGAAAATCAAAAATACGAGTAATTTTTTAAAACTTTACCAATCGCTTGTATCTTGTACTGTATTTTGGAGGGAAATACGTCCAATTGGAGTCAAAAATCAAAAAACGAAGAACCCAAAACATAGACTAATTTTTGGGCTAATCGGGCTGGCGTTTGTGGTATGTGGCATACCGTTTTGGAGAAAATCATTAGACTATAGACGATTATATGGTAAAATAATCGATTGTATTTTGTGACTTGTTTGATTAGGCAAAAACTAGCGATGAGTATGGCAAGGAACTACGTACCCATGCAAAAAGCTTTTACTGGATTCAATGAGTGCATACGCATACCGGTTTGTCACGGGCACCAAATCTTTGTCGAGCATCGCCACAGCGGTGACATGTCCGCAGAACTGGGCATAGTGCTCATGGGTCAGCGGCGAGCAGGTGTTTAGCAGTATGGCCAGACCTGCAATCAGTATTCATTGTCAAAATGGGGAATATATTGGAGAGTTCCTCCAAGGACTGACTCACCCAACGGTTTCAGGGATTTGATGTGCGCCTTCCACTCATGATCGTCGAACTCCAGTCGAAAGGGACAGTGCTGGTCATGCGTGAGGTCCAACACCTCGGCCACAATGCCCCGCTCCTTGTGATCCTCATCTACAATGGGTATGTCATCGCTTTCGCTTTGAGTGGAAGCCTGGCTGCGCGCCCCGTCATCTTTGGTGTCTTCGTCGGTGTTGTGCAGGAAGAAGACCTTCTCGGCAGTGGGATTGGGCCACGATAGTATACCCTTTTTGTCCACACAGCAGAGGGCCGAAATGGATCCCAGTACTTGTACCAAATTAGCCGAACGGGGCAGCAGCTCGCTGTCCCCTTTCCACAGTTGCATCCAGATGCGGAGCACATTGGAACGCAGCATCGATATGTTTTCATAGTCATAGGAGGGAGTGTCCAGGTCCTCTTCAAACGACTTTGTTGGACTCTTTTCAATGGCAGCTTGCGGGGTCTTTAGGAAGCTCTGCAGCCGGGCAATGCCCCAAAGATTCATCGATATCCACATTAGCGGGAAGATTAGAGGCAGCAGGGGAATTATGGCAGCAGCAGGCGACTCGACGAGCACAAAGCGCCAATTGTGCTTCTCGTCGGTGGGCAGCCCATAGCCATGCAGGCGCAGCAAGCCCGATATGAGAGTGATGATCAGGGCACTGATGAAGCCCCACTGTTGAATGTACTTGGTCACCAGCTAAAATCACAAATATTCACATTTTTAGGGACACAGCATTTTAAACGTATTTTGTTGAGCTTTTCATACCAGATAGCGCTGCTGATTGTAGATTGTTGGCGGTCGCTTTAGGGAGGTCTTTAGGCAAATGCTTAAATTTTCCAGGTACGGAGTTCTCTCCAAGCAGCAAACGAGATTGGGCAAGGGGGGACGCGCCATTGGCTTAACAGGAGGATCTCCCATGGGCGCCGCACCGTAGATTTCATTGGCATCAAAGAACTTGTTTGTTTCTAGCACATGACAAGGGCCGGGTGATATGTGCCCAGGTCGCAACACAATGCAGTCTCCGCGCACCAATAGAGCCCAAGGGAGGTTGACAAGTATGCCATCACGATAGGTCCATTGCAAGGATACGCAGGGCGACATGGGATTACTCAGGTGAGGATAGTTGGTTGGCTGCCAGTCGTCGCTGAAATGCTGCTCCGCCAATTGCAGCTCCGCCAGAGCGTAGCGCGTCTTTCGGAATATCTCCGTGCGCCGCAAATTATTCTCTCTGATGACCACGAAGAAGTCCAGCGATAAGATAGCCAGCAAACAGATCGCGGGCCACAACATACCAGTGATAAGCAGCGCTCCGCTTGTCAGCAAACTGGTCCCAATCGACAGCCAGCCCAGAGGACTGTCATAACGCTTCACGAATGCAGCACGCAACTTCCGATAGGAGCTGTAGAATAATAGGAGTTATCTTACTGGGTGTCATTTGCAGGCTTAATAACTGCCTCACCTTTCCGCGCCGTATTGCTGCTCATGCTCTAACAGCACCTTTTCAATCTCCTCGTACAGTCGCCGAAGCGCTATCTTTGTGCTGAGACCATGGTGCGGGTGCGGGTGTTCCGCCGACTCGAAGGCGGTGCTGCATGCCGGGTCGATCGGCTGCTTCCGTTGCATTTTTTCCGTAACCTACTGCTAGTGTTTTTTCGCATTCGGATGCACTTTAAGTAATCGCTGCCGCCTATACCATCGTTTTTACAGTTTTTCCATTTGTTTCCGATTTGGAGTTTTTGTTTTTTGCCGATCAGCTGTTCGCCACAGTGTGACCTAGCCGAGCTCGGAAAATATTCCCAAAACAGTGCTGCCATATCTCTCGAAAACGAAAAATTCCCCGCATTAAGGAAATTAGTGACAAAATACAATTTTAAAAACAAACTTTAGTTTATACATTTATTATGCGCTTACATGCACAATATTTAATGTTTTATGTACATTTCGATATATTATAGCAAATGGTAACGATCACATATATAGCGTAGATCACCAGTATGGGCCGAACTTCTACAAGTTGGACATTCTCCCGCACGGCTTAAGCAGATCTTGATGCAGTCGTCGCCAAAAAGATGTCCACAGGCCAAAGAAGCCAATCGGTGTTCGCCAAACGTGTCCCAGGGGCTGAGACAAATGGAGCAAGTATACTCCAGTATTGTTTGGTTTAGCTTATCCATTTCCAGAGAGTGGTTTTTTTCCTGCTCCTTTAGAGCACTGAGAGCTTCTGCGCGCAGCTTTTTACGTTCAGAAACTTCGCGCAGAAACTCGTTTTTTATCTCCTCCATTGTTTTGTTTTGCTCATCCAGTTTTCGTAGAACACTTGCATACTTGTCCATCTCGTGCTCCAGATGTAATAGCAGACCATCGCGTTCAGTAGTAAGTTGATCCTTCTGCAGCTGAACAAACTGAACCTTGTATGTCTGCTTCTCGAAATCTTCACGAAGATTTTCCGGGATTTTGTTCCTCAAGTCATTATTTACTCTAGTCATTCTAGTCACTTTTTTCTTTAAGATACCGCACTCCTTCTTCACAGCTTTTAAGTGTATCAAAACATTCGAGTGCTTCCCGTCGCATTTATTTTCATCACCGTCGTACTTTTCAGGGTTCGCCAGGAACGAATCTTCCAATTGATTATGCATTGGCATAAAAATCTCTTCAGCCATTTCTCTGAACAAGTGGTTGATTGCACTGCCTTGAAAACTAAAGATGTATGTATGTAGCTCCTGTTCGTGGTAGTCCCCTGAATGCTTTTTGCGAAAAGTCTAGCCGCACTGCCAAAAAGTACATTATAAAAATGGTGGGGTGACACTGTTTCTGGATTTTACTTTTGCTTTGGATAAATTCGGTATACACCTTTATTCCCTTGCGTAGGGTATTACTATTATGATGATGGTAATACATTTTATGACGCACCTATACCTTATAAAGACTATAATTTTAGACTCTGGAATCTTATATTAAGAAGCAAGAAGACTAGATTCTTGACTTATGAATATTAAAGCAGCCAAACGTTGGCTGACAGGACGGAAAGGGTATACAAATTTCGTTTTTTTTTCTGTATTATTAATTATGATAAATATTTCCGCATTTATAGAAGAAAAACTATCACCAAAAAGGCTGGAAAAGGAAAGGAATACTGAATAGAAATCATTCACCAGTTTTAATTTCTGACTTGAAATCTTTTACATTTTACTAAATTTGTAGTCATACAGCATACGTTTATTATGAATTTATAAGGTGTTCATTAAATATTAAACTCAATATTTCAACTGTTGCAAGATATAGTGTCAAATTTTTTAGTGACAATTTAAGATGAAAGTTTCCAATGCTAATTTTAAATTTCATAAGGCAAGATGTTAATACCATAGATATAACGAAGATGCTCTTCCGATGCCATCACCTTACAAATTGGGCATTGTAACACTCGACGTAGGTGTTCCCGGATGCACTTGTCACCAAAGAGATGTCCGCAGGGCAACGAAACCAATCGATGCACGCCACCCGAGTCCCAGGGGGTGACACAAATGCCGCAAACGTTGACCTCCGAATATTTGTTTTGAAGATTTCGTTCAACGTTGACCTCCGAATATTTGTTTTGAAGATTTCGTTCAAGCATATCCACTTGGAGTAAGTGTTTTTCGTCTTGGAGCTGTATGGCATAGAGCATATCAATTTGCCGTTGCTCAAACTCCTCTATTTCCAGATGAAAATTTTTATTCATCTCCACCATCGATTTGCTTTGCTCATCCAGTTTTTGTAGAATACTTGCATACTTTTCCTTCGCCACTTCCAACTGCAGTAGCAGACCATCACGTTCAATAGTTAGATTCTCCTTCTGCGCGTTATAAAGCTGCAGGTCACATTTTTGTTTTTCCAAATCTCTAACAAGTTCCATTTCTTTGTTCAAGAAGGCATGTTCTGAGTTCAGCTCGTCTATTTGTTCCCTGTAGATCTTCACTTCTTTTAAATGAAACATCAAATTCGAGTGCTTCGCGTCGCTCTTATTTGCTCCATCGTCGCAGTTTTCAGAGTTTAGCTTAGTCCACTGCAACAACCATTCGGATTCTTCCACCAGGAACGAATCTTCCAATGGAATAATAGTATATTCAGTCATTTCTTTGGACTAGTCGATTGCAATGCTTCGAAAACTAAATTTCTCCTGTTCGTGGTAGTCCCCAGAGTTCTTTTGCGAAAAGTGTAGTCCCAATTCTAAAAAGTAGAAAAAAATTAGAGGATTGTGTTTAAATTTGTGCAAATTGGGGTAACACTGGTGCTCGATTTTTTTGTTTAAATTATTACTCCACGCCACCTTTAAGCCAAGTAGTCAAAGAGGTTTATTCTTATAAGTAGTCAAAGAGGTTTATTCTTATAATATTTATAATAATAAATATTCAGTTGGAAACTGTTAAATATATTATAAAAAAAATGTATATCGATAACTCAATACCTAATATAATGAACCACCGGCGCATTTATCATTCCTGTCAACGAAAACCTTTTTTTACGCAAAATGCAATAAATGCAAGTGTTTAAAATAAACCAGTCAAGTAGAAAATTGATTAATTAATTGTATAAAACTATGTGGGCAGCGCTGACGGTACTAGTTAGCCAGCAATATTAAACGGAATATAAAAATTTAGCAATATGAACGACTATCCTGTTTCGTTTTTTTTGTTTGACTTATTTCCTATAAAAGTAAGTATTTTAAATAAGTCAGTTAGGTAAAAAATTGATTCATCAATTTGACAAAATTACGTGGGCATGGCTAAATGTGATATCTAGCTGGTAATATTCCACGGAATATCAAAATAGAGGAATATGTAAAATATAACTTGAATTCGTCAGTATGTTTACGGTATATTTTTAAAATGAAACGGTATATTTATGAGTGTCGGACGGTATTTTTTGGCGATAAAACCGCGGTCACCCTGTTTACAATATATTAATATTAACGTAATTTAATTTATCAAAAATAATACGATTGGAATGGATGCCAAGTTGGATGTGAGTACGGACAGTGTCACAAAATTGGACCCTAACTTATTTGTGATGATTTCACAGATGTTCGAAGATGTAAACACGTCGCCGTCGCCCTCTTTGGAGGGAGACATGTCCATACCAGGCAAACGAACCACAACGACAACATCGCAGAATGGAGTGCCGGACTACAACACATTGGATGAGCCCATCAAGGAGACAGTGCTCAGGGATATACGAGCCGTGGGCGTAAAATTCTACCATGTTCTCTACCCGAAGGAGAAGTCAAGTCTGTTGCGTGATTGTACGTCATCGCAGTGTGCTCGTTACCAGGAAGTGTAGTCGTAAGCAGTTTACTCATAACCTTTCGTTGCCGTTTCAGGGGATTTGTGGGGTCCGTTGGTGCTGTGCACCTTTATGGCCACCATACTGCAGGGCTCCTCTTCCGCCGACAGCATGTCCGATAATGGCCCCGAATTTGCACAGGTCTTTGTCATTGTGTGGATAGGAGCTGCCATTGTTACACTCAACTCCAAGCTTCTAGGTGGCAATATGTGTGTATTATTTACTCAACAATTCCATAGACATGTTTACATGATTATTTGACATATTTTTGCACATGCAGCTCATTCTTCCAGTCCGTTTGCGTCTTGGGCTATTGTCTGACGCCCGTGGCCATTTCCCTGATTGTTTGCCGCATCATCCTGCTTTCCACACAGACACGGCTGCTCTTTTTTTTGCGCTTTGTCACCACCACCATGGGCTTTGCCTGGGCAACGTACGGTGAGTTGAACTCTAGCTACTCTATGGACTGTCTGACTAATCTGCCGTTGACTTCCATTGCAGCTTCGTTTATATTCCTGGGCCAGAGTCAGCCTCCGCATCGCAAACCGCTCGCAGTCTATCCAATATTCTTGTTCTTCTTTATCATATCGTGGCTAGTCTTGTCCCATAATTAGGTCAATTTCTAATGCATCGCTTAGTGTTTAAATCAACCGGAAAGAAAAACAGTGAACGTTCCATAGAGTAACAAAAACAAAGAAAATGAAACCCCTAATCAATTGTAAATTTGTTTAAGCTACAATTTTTGTTTGTTTATTCTTAAAATCTTACAAGTTATCAGAGCTATGAGGGCACAGATATGTATATCCGAGTATGCACGAGTATATATGAGACTACACGTCCAGATTGTTCGCCGTCGAAGCCACCTCCAGCGACATCTGCATCTGCACGCCATCGCCCTTGGTCGGCCTGTAGGTTAACGAATTGGCCCGCGCCTTCCGACCCATAAAGTGTCGCTCCACCCATTTGAGGAGCGTGTACACGGAATCCGTCGAGGGCAGGCGATGATCGGCTGCGGTCTTGACTATGTCCGACGAGGTTATTCGGAAAGTTCTCGCCATTCCTTTGAGTGCCTATTATAGGATTAAAGGATTGGATTATTTTTTAAGCTGATTTCCCAGAGTGGGGCTGTGCTGGCTCTCTGTACGTACCACCATGGCATCCTCATCGGTAAGATCATCACCCACATAGATAATCTTAATACGCTCGTTCCAGTCCACACCGAAGGATGTGCGCAGAATGTAAATGGAGGCGCGACCCTTGTTCCACTGAACGGGAGGACGAGCCTCCAGGGCACAATGCGCCTCCGTTGCCCGAAAGCCGTACTTCTCCATGAGAGAGCGCGCCTTATCCACCATGTCCCCGCGCAAATGATTGGGCGTCTCCCGGTAGTGGAATGTGAGCAGTGCCCCCTTGTTCTCCACCCAGGCGCCGTCCTTGCACACCGAATCCTGGAGAGCCTTCAGAAGATCACTGACCTTCTTCTCATACTCCATGGGCATGGGATGGACAAACTTGCTGCCGTCTGGATGGAGAATTTCGAGACCATGGTTGCCGGCATATGTGATGCCTTCGATGCCGACCATTTTCTTTACATTGTCCACATTGCGGCCTGAGATGACGGCCACATAGACGTCGGAGTGGTTGGACAGCTTGTAAAGGACATTCTTGATCTCTGGCGAAAGCGTGGCTAGATCCGGATGCGGAGCAATCGGTGCCAAGGTGCCGTCGTAGTCCAGCAGCAGTGCTAGCTTGTGATTGTACCCGATGTATCTAATTGATTAACGGATTAGTTGGAGAGAGGATTCTTTAACCCTGTCACATTCGACTCACTTCAATAAGTAGTCGTCGAAGTCATCCACAGAGACAGGCTGCATGGTGGTGGTTCCCACATCATCCATCTCCAAAGCGCCTACGGCCTTGAGGAAGCAACGCATCCAGTGGCTGACATCACACTCCGCCTCGCGACGTCTCAGACGTGCCATGCGCAGGGCGCGCTCGTCGTCTGGCATGGTGAGGGCACGATGGATGACCTCGGCGGCCTCGTTTACCTCGTACGGATTGCAGAGCAGTGCCTCGTGCATCATCTCCCCTGCACCGGCGAAGGGCGAAATTACGAGGACTCCTGGAATATCATTGATCTGGCAGGCAACGAACTCTTTGGCCACCAGATTCATGCCATCACGTAGAGGTGTCACCAGGCACACGGCCGCATCCCGATAGAGGGCGGCTAGCTCGTCCTGGCTCACATAGTCGTAGATGTAGCGGATGGGTGCCCAGTTGGCAGTGGTGAAGCGACCGTTGATGCGGCCGACCAGCTGATCGACCTCCTCCTTTAGCTCGCGATACTCCTTGACGTCTGTGCGCGAGGGAACCGAGATCTGGAGCAGGCTCACCTTCTCCTTGTGTTGCGGATACTTCAGGAGCAGCGCCTCAAAAGCCATCAAACGATGCACCAGGCCTTTGGTGTAATCCAGTCGATCCACACCCAGGATGATCTGTTGCTTCGAGGTCTTCAGCACCTTGGGTGCGTTCTGCGCCAAGTTCACGAACCGCTCGTACGGAATTCCAATGGGCAGTGGTCGGATGCGTACTGTGCGCCCGCCGTGCTCCACCAGCAGGTTATTCCGGTCGACGCGACAACCCAGACTCCGCTGACAGCAGTCCACAAAGTTTAGACAGTAGTCCTGTATGTGGAACCCGACCAAATCGCAGCCGAGCATACCCTAAAAAACGAAGAAACGATAAAGGACGGATTTATGGATAAGAATGGGGCGGAAGATAGGGAGGCGCACCTGTAGGATTTCATCGGACCAGGGCAGCAGGCGGAAGATGTCCCATGGTGGGAACGGGATGTGCAGGAAGAAGGCCAGACGACAAGGCAGGTTCTTCTCCTCGGCATGCTCGCGCACCCAGTTGGCGGCTAGCATCAGGTGGTAGTCGTGGATCCACACAATCGGCGGACTCTTCTCGCTGCCCCGATTATTGGCCAGGCACTTCTCCAGGGCCTCGATGGTGCGCACTGCAAAGTGCTTGTTCACCGTCACATAGTCAGCCCAGTGCACCCCTCCGAAGTTCGCCCGCCCGGGCATCGAGTGGAACAACGGCCAGAACATCTTGTTGCAGCATCCATTGTAGTAGCTGTCGAAAATCTTCGCGTCGATGTTCACCGAGACGACTTGGTCAGACTTGAGGCCGGCGGTGGGGGTCTGATCGTTCGGATTCGACTCGGGTATAGCCTCGTTGGGGTCCTCAAGATGGATGCCGGACCAGCCCACCCAGAGACCCTTGCCTTTGATAACCACGGGACAGACGGCAGTGACGAGGCCACCGGCACTGAAATAAGCACAGAGCAGAACAGAAGCGAACGTTATAAGGTGTGCCACATACTCGCATACAGACTCGCGCCTACGTCGATGTGATTGTAAATATCCCGCCCATTTTATGCAGAGTGCACGACACCAGATCGCTGATAAGGAGCCAGCTCATAAAATCAGCGCCTCAAACGGCAATTGTAAACAAGCTACGGGTCTCTGGATCCGGACTGCCCTCGAGACAATCGAATGCTTAGACCTCAAGACCGACTACGGCTGTAACTTCGTTCCTGGCATAGGTCGGGGAGCTGTTGCTTCGCCTTCTCCAGCCCCCATTCCATACACGTGACGAACTTTTTTCAGTGTCAGGTTCAATTCTCGCCTTCCGTTCCGTTTGATATAATGCCCCTCCGACTGACTAGTATTGACCCCTTTCACAGACTCTAGAAGGGTCAAAAACGCGTAATAGACCTCGCTGATAAGGCGAGTCGTCGTCGTCGCCCGCCATTCGTATTGAATTTGTTTTCTAATTTCATATGCTTCCATGGGTCTGGGCTCTGGTCCCGTCTGGCTGTAGTTCAGTTCAGTTCCCTTCGCTTCCATCCATCCCTGTGTGTGTTCGTGTTCTCCGCTGATAAGGTTGACAACCTATAAGGCATGCGTGTCGAAACAACCTCAACTGCTACTCGTGGATGAACTGAAGCATAGGTAGTTAGGTTGATTTCCCTATCGGGGATTGGGATTGGGTGGCGGCCAGGTTGCTTATCTTCAATGCAAATTATAGGCCTGCGATCTGAATTGGGTTACTTGGAGTCTTTTTGGAGTGCGACGAACATGAAAGTTTGCCTTGACAAAACTTTGAAAGTCGACCTCTTCAATATTGACAATAAAAACTATGGAACTTTTGAATTATTCGTATTATTTTCTATTGAATATAATTAATCGGTTTTCTTTGTATGGGTGCAATCCGAACTAAATATTTGCTTGTCCTTATTGCAGCGTTCAAATTGTGAAATCGACTTGGATTGGATTGGATCAGAGCAAGTCCACCTTTAGGGCTAGTTAATAATTTCTAAACTTTTTGAACAGTTTAGTCGATATTCTCATACAATGAATATTCAGCCTCTGTCCGATTACGTAAAGGAAATTAACAATATTTAACACAATTTTAACTCAGATACTCTCATCTTATAGTCACTTGAATAGTCGTTGATTTACAAGGATATATCAGATATCACTCACCTGGCCCTACGTTCCAGCTCCTGAGTTTTGGCATTACGAACCAGCACAAAGGGGAGGCGATTCGAGACAACGATCAAGCTGGCCTTGGTTGAGGGCTCGCCGGCGTTGGTCACAATGATCTCCGTGTCGGGCATTTTGTTCCGTTCCGCTGAGAATCAGCTCGAGATGCTCTACGATCGATTTAGAATGTGTTGGTGGAACGTTGATAGAAACTGCTCGAGGATGCAAAGGGCCAAAATTAGCACATAATTTGTGACTAAATTGGTTGTGAGATCGCTTTTTATAACAGCCGGGGATGGTATGGGAATGTGGAGAATAAACACCTGCCTGTTGGACCTTATGAACTGCACTGACTGGACCTGGGACGTTGACGATCTATCAGTGAGCCTCTTCTATCGCCTATACTTATATAGACGGTCGAGACAAGAGCGCACGACCAGGAGCCGAAAACGTTTTCGAATGCTGATTGAAATTGAAGAGCAACTGCCGAGGGCTTTCGCCTTATCTGTCCAGTGCAATTCGCTTACGGATGAACCTACTCTGTGTTGGAGACTTTGGAAAAACTGTTTCCAGTTTTCCTAGCAGCGTTGAGATATAGTTTTCTCGCGGGAGCCAGAAGCAGCTCCGTACCCTGCCAAAAATAGACAAGTACTAAGCCAACTACTCGCTCAAGTCGCACTTTTCTGCTAAAAATTGATGCGCATCGAGCCCACCCCACCTCTCCACCTCCCACTTGGGTTCCACAGTCCACGTCCACTCAGAGACCAGAACCTAGAGCCCACAGCCCTCTCCTCTCATCTCATCTTATGGCTTATCAGAAAATAGTCCAGCGTTCTAGTCTATTAGTATAGCCAACTGATTACGAGTGTGTGAAACGTGCCAGAGTCTGCTAATTCCACTCGCTGGCTCGCCTGGCTATGGCCAGAGAAAAGAATCAAGTAAGAACCAATCCAAAGTCTCTCTTTTGACCCACTTGCATCCTGGGTTGTGACAGGATCCCTCAAGGGTCTACGATCGAGGTTTTAATATGTTATATTGGGGTTTCGGAGCCGCAGTTTGCCGGCAGGCAAATCCGTGCTAGTTTTTCTAGAATTAACTGGCCGCGCCTGGTATTATCAAGTGGAGAATGTTTCACGGCAACAGCAGCCGCCCGCCGCCTTCCCATCCCTATCTGCCCAGAGATCGATGGCGGTGGCAATATTGCCTTTCCTAGCGATAAGTCAACAAATCGAAGCGTAAACAAGCTTTAGTTTGGATGCTCTCTAAAGAACATCCGAAAAGTACATAGAATATTTATATTTATTTCTATTTTCGGGTTTCGTTTATGTTTGTAGTTCCCCGCAGTCTGCAGTCTGCGGTCTTCAGTCTGCAGTCTGCGAAGGCAGAAACAGAGTACAGTGCCGTGCGATACCTGGATCTTAAATCATTTCGGCGATCCCACAGAACTAACCTTGTATTGACCGTCATTTCCTCCCCACCTGGTTGAGATGATTGTTATTTGCTATCCCACTGATAAGATATTGTCCGCTCTCTGCGCCTGCATTCTGTTTATCTAATGCACTTTACAAGATTCTTATTCTGAGTTGGTTAATTGCAGGTTGCAGGCGGAGTGATGCAAAGGGGATTTGTTTTGGCTGGATTATACTAAGTGGAAAACTCTGCTGAACTTGATCACTTGATCATGTTTGGTATTCATGCGCTTATCACGACGCTCCGCTTGCGTTTTACGTGATTGGTTGCTGGTGGCTGGCGGCTGGCAATAGTTGCTGGAATCAGAATCGGAATCTGCAATAACAAATTTGCACTTCAAATCAAGAGCACAAATTAGTCAGATTTGTAAGGTAAGGTGTGCTCGATGCAGCTGCGCTTCGGGCGGTCCATAACTGATAACCTCTGGCCAAGGGTCGATGCATTACGCTTGCACATTTTGATAGTTGTAGCCATAATTGCCACATGCGTCAATAGTTTGAGGCGACAAAAGCTACGTCGGGCCCTGATATTCGTGATGTAAGCAAAGGTGCGCTGCGCGTATAACGCTTGTTTGGAACTTGTAACGGCCGAATATTTACCAGGGCTGAAAACCTGCTCTCCTAGCACTTTTCATATCGATCTTTTCGATAGACAGAAATTCCATTCTCTAAGTGTGAACGTATTTTCAAAAGTGTGCCCATACCAATCAAATTGAATTGTTTATATCCACAACAAAAGAGCCAACCAGCCATGGATCCGGCCATTATTGAGTTTATTGGGGAAAAGTGCATGATAAGCATAATTCCCAACTTCTCCAACGAGCCGCTGCACCTTATCTATGGCTCGGTGGGCCCGTTCCGAGCCGGCTTCCCTGTGTTCGTACCCCTGTGGATGGCAACGCATTTAAGAAAACAACAAAAGTGCCGCATAGTGCCGCCCGAATGGATGGACATGGACATACTCGAGGAGATCAAAGAAGAAGAGAAACGCTCCAAGTAAGTTACATTTCATATCGGTACAGAAAGCTCTTTCTATAGTCTGGCCCCACACAGATTCTTTACCAAAATGCCGTCCGAGCATTACATGGTTGTGGCCCAATTGGTCATGAGCACCGCACCGGATGATGTGCCTCGCTGTGAGGAGCTACGCACTGTCATCAAGGATATATTTGACATTCGCGAGTCGAAGCTGCGCACCTCCATCGATGCCTTCATCAAGGGCGAAGGCACATACGCCAAGCTGGATAACCTGACGCTCCTGGAAATACACAGCGTGCGTCCCATTCTGCCCTACTCCCTCGATCACATAGCGCGCTACCAGCGAACGGCCACAGCCTCCCAGCGTGATACTTCTATGCTGAGCGCTTCGATGGCTGGTTCGAGTACGGGACCAGGAAGCAATTCGCTCTTTTCGCAGTGATAGAAGTCATGGTTTACTCATATTCATAAATTAAACTAATCAACCATAAGTAGATGTCAATTAAAAAAGAGATTGAGCTAAATAGCCACCCAGCAGTGTTGCAGCCAACCTGGACAAGTGGCTAGCTACAAGCTCTGGACTTTGTATCAGCGGTAATTGGACCAACCTGGTCCGGACACTGCCATGGCCATCTTCCTTGAGTCCCACGCTGTTTTCTCCGCTTTTCCAGTCCGCTTGCCATCCGTACCCCCTCCGCGGATGATTCTGTGGCAGCCATTGGCTTTCCTGCTGCGGACCATAGCCATGATGCCGCTGATGTGTCGCTGAGTTGACAATGTGGCGTTCCGTCCGCTGCAGCAGTGATCGACAGCGGAATTGTCATTTCGCCATCGGGCGAGTCCTGCCAATCGACTGCCATCGGAAAACGGGACATCCATTTTTCCACGATTTTTGCAAAAAATCATGATGGTTACATCATTAAATTTGCCAAAAATCGGCCTCATTTTCATAGTCGAGATTTTGATGCCGTTCGGCAGTCTGGATCCTCACGATCCTGGGAGAGTTGGTCCTGCACCGATCTGGCCCTATTTACCCGAGATATAGCTTTCCGAAGAGTTGGATTTTGCATTTCATTATTATACTGGCTTTTCCGTAGGCTATATTTCTGCTATCCGTCAGCCGATCGGAGTGCGGCATGTCTTTTCGTGATCGGGAGAGTCCTGACAATCGATTGCCATCGGAAAAAGGGACATCCATTTTTCCACTATTTTTGCAAAAAATCATGATGGTTACATCATTAAATTTGCCAAAAATCGGCCTCATTTTCATAGTCGAGATTTTGATGCCGTTTGATTCTCTGGATCCTCACGATCCTGGGAGAGTTGGTCCTGCACCGATCTGGCGCTATTTACCCGAGATATAGCTTTCCGAAGAGTTGGATTTTGCATTTCATTATTATACTGGCTTTTCCGTAGGCTATATTTCTGCTATCCGTCAGCCGATCGGAGTGCGGCATGTCTTTTCGTGATCGGGAGAGTCCTGACAATCGATTGCCATCGGAAAAAGGGACATCCATTTTTCCACGATTTTTGCAAAAAATCATGATGGTTACATCATTAAATTTGCCAAAAATCGGCCTCATTTTCATAGGCGAGATTTTGATGCCGTTCGGCAGTCTGGATCCTCACGATCCTGGGAGAGTTGGTCCTGCACCGATCTGGCCCTATTTACCCGAGATATAGCTTTCCGAAGAGTTGGATTTTGCATTTCATTATTATACTGGCTTTTCCGTAGGCTATATTTCTGCTTTCCGTCAGGCGATCGGAGTGCGGCATGTCTTTTCGTGATCGGGAGAGTCCTGACAATCGATTGCCATCGGAAAAAGGGACATCCATTTTTCCACGATTTTTGCAAAAAATCATGATGGTTACATCATTAAATTTGCCAAAAATCGGCCTCATTTTCATAGGCGAGATTTTGATGCCGTTCGGCAGTCTGGATCCTCACGATCCTGGGAGAGTTGGTCCTGCACCGATCTGGCCCTATTTACCCGAGATATAGCTTTCCGAAGAGTTGGATTTTGCATTTCATTATTATACTGGCTTTTCCGTAGGCTATATTTCTGCTATCCGTCAGCCGATCGGAGTGCGGCATGTCTTTTCGTGATCGGGAGAGTCCTGACAATCGATTGCCATCGGAAAAAGGGACATCCATTTTTCCACGATTTTTGCAAAAAATCATGATGGTTACATCATTAAATTTGCCAAAAATCGGCCTCATTTTCATAGTCAAGATTTTGATGCCGTTTGATTCTCTGGATCCTCACGATCCTGGGAGAGTTGGTCCTGCACCGATCTGGCCCTATTTACCCGAGATATAGCTTTCCGAAGAGTTGGATTTTGCATTTCATTATTATACTGGCTTTTCCGTAGGCTATATTTCTGCTATCCGTCAGCCGATCGGAGTGCGGCATGTCTTTTCGTGATCGGGAGAGTCCTGACAATCGATTGCCATCGGAAAAAGGGACATCCATTTTTCCACGATTTTTGCAAAAAATCATGATGGTTACATCATTAAATTTGCCAAAAATCGGCCTCATTTTCATAGTCGAGATTTTGATGCCGTTTGATTCTCTGGATCCTCACGATCCTGGGAGAGTTGGTCCTGCACCGATCTGGCCCTATTTACCCGAGATATAGCTTTCCGAAGAGTTGGATTTTGCATTTCATTATTATACTGGCTTTTCCGTAGGCTATATTTCTGCTATCCGTCAGCCGATCGGAGTGCGGCATGTCTTTTCGTGATCGGGAGAGTCCTGACAATCGATTGCCATCGGAAAAAGGGACATCCATTTTTCCACGATTTTTGCAAAAAATCATGATGGTTACATCATTAAATTTGCCAAAAATCGGCCTCATTTTCATAGTCGAGATTTTGATGCCGTTTGATTCTCTGGATCCTCACGATCCTGGGAGAGTTGATCCTGCACCGATCTGGCCCTATTTACCTGAGATATAGCCTTCCGAAGATTTGCATATCATTAAAATACTATTACTTTATTTAGCTCTTCCTTTTATCTTGGCAGGTCGCAACCTCGGGTGGCTAGGAATGCTTCTTGCGTGTCGTGATCACCGATTAGCCCACCACTGTTTACCAGGGGTATCACCCTTTTGGCCTTCCGGTTCATATGACAATGACGGCTGTCCACTCCAGAAGCCTGACGCCGGACACTACGCCGTACGCCTCATGGGACATGATTCCTGACGAGCGAGGCTGTGTCCTTTGGCTCCAGCAGGACAGAAGCGCACCCCTTGCAAGACTCTAGCCAAACAAGCCATCGCCATCCTTCGACCTGTCCATCGAAAACAAGACTTTGACTATGCATCCAACGGATGGGCTATTCCGGCTACTAGAACCTAGAAAGATATCCTAATAGTTAGGTTTAAGGATATACGCGTCTATATATTTAGATAGTAGATACAAATGTTTTCCAATTGTTTATTTGTTTATACTAAGCTAAGTTATGATGAATAAAACCATTGAAAAATCATCCTTGCTGTATCCTGTTTCGGGGAAAATATGACGGGGAATATAGGGAACAAAAGAGCAGAAAATATTTAATATTTTTTATTGGGGAACATGTCCTTGATCCTTGAGAAGGACTCCATTAAATCAGGGACATTTTTTAGAGCACAGGAAGCCATGGCAGGGTCCATCCCGATCGGGCCGCACAAAAAGAGAAAAGAAAGTATATTTGTCTGTAGAAAGTATCCTTGATCTTTCGTCCTTGACAAGGAAGCTATTCTGAACACAGGAAGCCGTTGCACGTCCCGATCGGGCCACAAATATTGGAAAAAACAACAAATGTTGTCAATTGTACAATTGTTGTACAACAACAAATTTAAACTTGCGGCCGCTCAAATGTCCAAAATCGAGAATATGATAACTGGGATACCAGGCAAACAGAAATCAACAGAAGGTAGCTTATTTTTAAAAAAAATTTTGATTTAATTTTTATTAACATGTTTTTCAAACCCCAAAAGTATGCCACAGAATTTTTTTCAATCGCTAAAGTTGCTTGCTGCTGATTTCTGTTCGCCTGGTATTCCAGTTTTGAAATTCTCGTTCGTGGCCACTTGAGCGATCGCATGTTGAGAGTTATAGTTGTACAACAACAGAAATTTGTTGTACAACAATTGACAACAAAAACTTTTGTTGTTTTCTCCGTTATTGGTTGCCTAATCTGGGCGTGAGACGGCTTCCTGAGATCGAAAAAATGTCCCTGATTCGATGGAGTCCTTATCAGGGACCAAGGACCAAGGATATTTTCGCCAGATACATACATATATCTGGTTTTCTCCCAGAATTGTTGCCCGATCAGGACATGCGACGGCTTCCTGTGCTCTAAAAAATGTCCCTGATTTAATGGAGTCCTTCTCAAGGATCAAGGACATGTTCCCCAACAAAAAATATTAAATATTTTCTGCTCTTTTGTTCCCTATATTCCCCGTCATATTTTCCCCGAAACAGGATACAGCAAGGATGATTTTTCAATGGTTTTATTCATCATAACTTAGCTTAGTATAAACAAATAAACAATTGGAAAACATTTGTATCTACTATCTAAATATATAGACGCGTATATCCTTAAACCTAACAATAAGGATATCTTTCTAGGTTCTAGTAGCCGGAATAGCCCATCCGTTGGATGCATAGTCAAAGTCTTGTTTTCGATGGACAGGTCGAAGGATGGCGATGGCTTGTTTGGCTAGAGTCTTGCAAGGGGTGCGCTTCTGTCCTGCTGGAGCCAAAGGACACAGCCTCGCTCGTCAGGAATCATGTCCCATGAGGCGTACGGCGTAGTGTCCGGCGTCAGGCTTCTGGAGTGGACAGCCGTCATTGTCATATGAACCGGAAGGCCAAAAGGGTGATACCCCTGGTAAACAGTGGTGGGCTAATCGGTGATCACGACACGCAAGAAGCATTCCTAGCCACCCGAGGTTGCGACCTGCCAAGATAAAAGGAAGAGCTAAATAAAGTAATAGTATTTTAATGATATGCAAATCTTCGGAAGGCTATATCTCAGGTAAATAGGGCCAGATCGGTGCAGGATCAACTCTCCCAGGATCGTGAGGATCCAGAGAATCAAACGGCATCAAAATCTCGACTATGAAAATGAGGCCGATTTTTGGCAAATTTAATGATGTAACCATCATGATTTTTTGCAAAAATCGTGGAAAAATGGATGTCCCTTTTTCCGATGGCAATCGATTGTCAGGACTCTCCCGATCACGAAAAGACATGCCGCACTCCGATCGGCTGACGGATAGCAGAAATATAGCCTACGGAAAAGCCAGTATAATAATGAAATGCAAAATCCAACTCTTCGGAAAGCTATATCTCGGGTAAATAGGGCCAGATCGGTGCAGGACCAACTCTCCCAGGATCGTGAGGATCCAGACTGCCGAACGGCATCAAAATCTCGCCTATGAAAATGAGGCCGATTTTTGGCAAATTTAATGATGTAACCATCATGATTTTTTGCAAAAATCGTGGAAAAATGGATGTCCCTTTTTCCGATGGCAATCGATTGTCAGGACTCTCCCGATCACGAAAAGACATGCCGCACTCCGATCGGCTGACGGATAGCAGAAATATAGCCTACGGAAAAGCCAGTATAATAATGAAATGCAAAATCCAACTCTTCGGAAAGCTATATCTCGGGTAAATAGGGCCAGATCGGTGCAGGACCAACTCTCCCAGGATCGTGAGGATCCAGAGAATCAAACGGCATCAAAATCTCGACTATGAAAATGAGGCCGATTTTTGGCAAATTTAATGATGTAACCATCATGATTTTTTGCAAAAATCGTGGAAAAATGGATGTCCCTTTTTCCGATGGCAATCGATTGTCAGGACTCTCCCGATCACGAAAAGACATGCCGCACTCCGATCGGCTGACGGATAGCAGAAATATAGCCTACGGAAAAGCCAGTATAATAATGAAATGCAAAATCCAACTCTTCGGAAAGCTATATCTCGGGTAAATAGGGCCAGATCGGTGCAGGACCAACTCTCCCAGGATCGTGAGGATCCAGAGAATCAAACGGCATCAAAATCTCGACTATGAAAATGAGGCCGATTTTTGGCAAATTTAATGATGTAACCATCATGATTTTTTGCAAAAATCGTGGAAAAATGGATGTCCCTTTTTCCGATGGCAATCGATTGTCAGGACTCTCCCGATCACGAAAAGACATGCCGCACTCCGATCGGCTGACGGACAGCAGAAATATAGCCTACGGAAAAGCCAGTATAATAATGAAATGCAAAATCCAACTCTTCGGAAAGCTATATCTCGGGTAAATAGCGCCAGATCGGTGCAGGACCAACTCTCCCAGGATCGTGAGGATCCAGAGAATCAAACGGCATCAAAATCTCGACTATGAAAATGAGGCCGATTTTTGGCAAATTTAATGATGTAACCATCATGATTTTTTGCAAAAATCGTTGAAAAATGGATGTCCCTTTTTCCGATGGCAATCGATTGTCAGGACTCTCCCGATCACGGATAGCAGAAATATAGCCTACGGAAAAGCCAGTATAATAATGAAATGCAAAATCCAACTCTTCGGAAAGCTATATCTCGGGTAAATAGGGCCAGATCGGTGCAGGACCAACTCTCCCAGGATCGTGAGGATCCAGACTGCCGAACGGCATCAAAATCTCGCCTATGAAAATGAGGCCGATTTTTGGCAAATTTAATGATGTAACCATCATGATTTTTTGCAAAAATCGTGGAAAAATGGATGTCCCTTTTTCCGATGGCAATCGATTGTCAGGACTCTCCCGATCACGAAAAGACATGCCGCACTCCGATCGGCTGACGGATAGCAGAAATATAGCCTACGGAAAAGCCAGTATAATAATGAAATGCAAAATCCAACTCTTCGGAAAGCTATATCTCGTGTAAATAGCGCCAGATCGGTGCAGGACCAACTCTCCCAGGATCGTGAGGATCCAGAGAATCAAACGGCATCAAAATCTCGACTATGAAAATGAGGCCGATTTTTGGCAAATTTAATGATGTAACCATCATGATTTTTTGCAAAAACCGTGGAAAAATGGATGTCCCTTTTTCCGATGGCAATCGATTGTCAGGACTCTCCCGATCACGAAAAGACATGCCGCACTCCGATCGGCTGACGGATAGCAGAAATATAGCCTACGGAAAAGCCAGTATAATAATGAAATGCAAAATCCAACTCTTCGGAAAGCTATATCTCGGGTAAATAGGGCCAGATCGGTGCAGGACCAACTCTCCCAGGATCGTGAGGATCCAGAGAATCAAACGGCATCAAAATCTCGACTATGAAAATGAGGCCGATTTTTGGCAAATTTAATGATGTAACCATCATGATTTTTTGCAAAAATCGTGGAAAAATGGATGTCCCTTTTTCCGATGGCAATCGATTGTCAGGACTCTCCCGATCACGAAAAGACATGCCGCACTCCGATCGGCTGACGGATAGCAGAAATATAGCCTACGGAAAAGCCAGTATAATAATGAAATGCAAAATCCAACTCTTCGGAAAGCTATATCTCGGGTAAATAGGGCCAGATCGGTGCAGGACCAACTCTCCCAGGATCGTGAGGATCCAGAGAATCAAACGGCATCAAAATCTCGACTATGAAAATGAGGCCGATTTTTGGCAAATTTAATGATGTAACCATCATGATTTTTTGCAAAAATCGTGGAAAAATGGATGTCCCTTTTTCCGATGGCAATCGATTGTCAGGACTCTCCCGATCACGAAAAGACATGCCGCACTCCGATCGGCTGACGGAAAGCAGAAATATAGCCTACGGAAAAGCCAGTATAATAATGAAATGCAAAATCCAACTCTTCGGAAAGCTATATCTCCTGTAAATAGGGCCAGATCGGTGCAGGACCAACTCTCCCAGGATCGTGAGGATCCAGAGAATCAAACGGCATCAAAATCTCGAACTGTCGAACGGCTTCAAAATCTCGACCAGAATACGCGTGGTTGAGGGCTTACCCGAACACACGCTGAATGTGTAAGCCCCCACAATCTTCTTTTGCCCGCTCGACAAAGTTGCTGGTTGGTGTGTGGTCCATGCCCTGGGTCGCTTGCCAATGATGGAAGCCCATCCCCCAGGGGCCAAGGTAAATGTCCTGATGTCCAGTTCTCACGTGCGCAGTGTCACCATTTCTGGCCACTTTATGGAATATAACTCCACTGACAGTGGCCTTCGTAACTTCCAGCGCAACTTTGTATTGGAACTGCAATAGAGAAAGGAGCAAAAGATAAAGGAACCTGTGCCAGTTGACCACTTGAATGTCTTCTCGCTGGCGTGGACGCGTAGGTGCTTCTTTAGTCCAATGCTAAGGTGCAGCCGTTGAGGGGAAGGGGCTCTGTTTTAGGAAATTATGTGGGCATGGCTAATTTTATATATATTAAATTTGTAGTATAATGTAATATTTTATAATATATTTTTATTATATATTTTATATACATTTTATGATATTGCTGGTAATATATTCCACGGAATATAGAACTTGAATTCGTCAGTATATTTACGGTATATTTTGGTCTATTTTGGTATATTTCTGAGGGCCAGACTGATAAATAAATCCGCGGTCACATTGAAACGTACAAAAAACCATAACAAAAAAAAATAATTTAAGAAATTTCAACGTACGAATTAAAATGAGCGAGGCTGGTGTGGCTGTGGAGACGGAGGCTACTACCGAGAAAATGGTGGCCAACAACAAGATACACTTCTCGAAGGAGGTGAAACAGGTCATCGACAAGGTGAGAAACCGCCAACGCCGCAAAATACCTTATACTAGCGCAATGCTGTGGGTCGGTTTTCAGGTCCTAAAAACGGAGGATCCTATGGATGCACCCGACTTCAACACCGTGGACTACATCAACCAGCTGTTCCCCAACGAGCAGTCGCTGGTGGGCATCGATGAGACCATACAGAAGATGCAGTGCGAGGTGTCTCTGATAGATGACAACATTCGATCCGTGGTGCGCGGGCAGACCAATACGGGGCAGGACGGACAACTGGCTTTGTGCGAGGCGCAGAAGGTGATTAGTTCCCTGTTCAGTCACATTATCGACGTTAAGACGCGTGCCGAGCGCACGGAAGAGATGGTCAAGGAAATTACGCGCGACATCAAGCAGCTGGACTGTGCCAAGCGGAACCTCACATCGGCCATTACTACGCTGAATCATCTCCATATGCTGGTCGGAGGAATCGAGAGCCTTAACCAGCTGATTGAGCGACGGTCATACGGGGAGATTCTGAATCCCTTGCAGGCCATCACAGAGGTTAATCAGCATTTCCAGCAGTTCTCCGACATTGAGGAAATCAAGGTGAGTGCTTATGGATTTCTCTTTGAACCTTATGCATCCATGCATACATACTCTTTTTGCAGAATCTCTCCCAGAGCGTAGACAAAATACAGGTGACTTTGGCGCAGCAAATCACCGAGGACTTCAAGGAGGCGTTTGCCTCGAAGCCTTCGGGCCAGAAGCAGTATAGGTTGGGACTGAATCAACTGGGGGATGCGTGCAAGGTTATGTCCGTGCTGGATCCAAAAGTGAAGAAGGAGTTGCTCAAATGGTTCATTGCCCAGCAGCTGGAAGAGTACATGCACCTATTCCATGAGAACCAGGACATAGCCTGGCTGGACAAAATCGACAAGCGATATGCATGGCTCAAGCGGCACCTGCTAGACTTTGAGGACAAGTACGGACCCGTCTTTCCACTGGACTGGGAAGTTTCAGAGCGCATAACCGTGGAGTTCTGTCGGCAGACGCGCGAGCAGCTGTCGCAGATAATGGCCAAGCGGAGCAATGAGATCGATGTTCGTTTGCTACTCTTTGCCATCAACAAGACGCAGGCCTTCGAACAACTGCTATCAAAACGCTTCACGGGAGTTACTCTTGGAGCCACGCCCGCGGAGCAGACGCGTGTGTTGGTGCCGCCTTCTGGGGCAGATGCGCCTGTCGCCATCTCTGTGTTCCATGACCAGATCGGACAGTGCTTCAAATCCCACTTGGATATCTACATACGCAGCATCGATCGGAATCTGTCCGAGCTAATGGACAAGTTCGTGGAGATGTCCCGGGAGCCGTACAAGTTCGCCGAGGCCAAGACCACCGTGTACCCCAGTTCTGGAGATCTGTTCGTGTTCTACAAGAAGTGCATGGTACAGTGCAATCAACTGAGCAACGAGCAACCCATGTACGACCTGGCTCTGGTCTTCAAGAAATACCTTCGAGAGTACGCCGCAAAGGTGCTCGAGGGGAGCACCCCAAAGCTCGTTCCGACTACCACCAGCAGTTCCATTGGCAAGAGCGTTTCTCTGCTCACCCGCGACATGCAAAACCTCTCTTCGGCTGCTGGCCAGGTGTTCCACAACTTCCTCAAGGAGGGCGATACGCAACGATTTACACGCGACGATCTCGTGAGGATCTGTTGCGTCCTGACAACTGGCGAGTACTGCCTGGAGACGGTCCAGCAGCTGGAGGACAAGTTGAAGGAGAAAGTCACCGCTGGCTATGTCGCCAAGATCGATATGAGTGAGGAAAAGGATGTGTTCCATCGGTAAGTGCTCCTCTCTCTTTATACGTTACAGAATGCAATGCTAATATTATATGATTTTTTTCCGTAGAATAATTTCCAACTGCATCCAACTGCTGGTTCAGGATCTGGAGGCTGGATGCGAGACCTCGCTGCAGGCCATGGCGAAGGTGCAATGGCAGCACATCAACAACGTGGGAGATCAGAGCGCATTCATCAACAGCATCTGCAGCAACTTTAAGCAGACAGTGCCCACCATCCGGGACACGCTAGCCAGCTCACGTAAATACTTTACACAGTTCTGCCATCGCTTCGTGGCCGCCTTCATTCCGAAGTTCATCAATGTGCTGTACAGATGCAAGCTCACCCTTTCGGATGGCTCAAATAATGTCTTGGGCTGTGAACAGCTTCTCTTGGACACGCACTCGCTGAAGACGGCGCTACTGGAGCTGCCTTCGGTCGGGTCGAGTGTGAATCGCAAAGCGCCCACCAGTTACACCAAGGTGGTGGTCAAGGACATGACGCGGGCCGAAATGATTATTAAGGTGGTCATGACTCCAGTCCAGCCGCCAGCACACTTTACGCAGCAGGTGCTGAAGCTGCTGCCAGACATCACCATTGCAGAGTATCAGAAGATTCTTGACATGAAAGCGGTCAAGCGAGTGGATCAACTGCAGCTGATAGATCTCTTCAAGCACACGGCGTCGGCGGCAGCGGTTAGTGGTCTAATTGAGCCAGCCGCCAGCGGCGATGAGGACACCCAAAGCACAGATCACACTCATCCGGGAGGCATTGTTGATGATGCCGAGCCAGGTGCCTCGAGTGCCACGGGTGATTCTACAACGATCACAACGACAACCGCCTCATCCGCCACACCCAAGCGGGCCTTCATCTTCAGCGTCGGCAGTTTCACGGGCAGTGCGGACAAGAATGCGGATGGCAGCTCCCAGACGGGCATTCGGAAGCTGGAAAGTTTGCTGAAGAAACGCTTTCCCTAGTCAAACTACGAGTATTTGTAATCCCTTCTGACCCATCATTCCATTAAGTTCTAGCAGCACCTTTGAGTTTGACAAAGTTCTTTAAAGTTTCGATATACATATGTAGTTATCGCATGTAGATTTAACTGGAAAGAAAGATAGCATACCAAAACCAATTCCAATTTATGTTGTAATCCACTTGCAGTTCCTTAGGTCTGCCCTGAACTTATCGTTTTATATATTAAAATATGTTTGTAAAGATGTAAAGATTCTTTTCTTCGAATAGTTGATTTTATTGTAGTTTTGACTTCTTAGTTTTTAAACACAAACTTATCTCTGACTATGCTGAAAGTTGTATTCTCATGGTTTACGTTCATGTTCATGGTACTAATGACTAATGCGTTGGTTTAGATGCTAGATGCTATAACTAGAACTAGAACTAGGGCTGCGGTGCGATTGCCGTTGCGGTCGCGATTACGATTGCGATTGCGGTATCTCGGTTATTCTATGTACATGCAACTTATTATCCACAAACTGATTTTTGAGCGTACGGTCTAGTTTGAAGATCTTTTGAAAGTGTTCGCATTGCGCGCAAAAATACAAATCTCTAAACAAAAGACTTAACACACAAACTTAGGCGTACCCATAAGGCGGTAGTACTATCTTCATTAAGTTATTATTTTATATTCTATAGATGTATGTATGTATGTATGCTTTGGTTTAATTCCAGCACTGCAAGAACCTAATCCACGAATCTGAAGCTGATGCTGAATACGAGTGAATATGACTAATACGCAGTCGGGGGTCGGTCTGGGACAGCATTCCAAGGCCAGTTAGCACTTTCCGGCTAACTGCCGCCCGAAGCTGTCGCTGAGGGCCCGTGGCTGTACAGGGAGTGGGCTACGGTAGGATTTACTCATAAATTTAAATACACAGTATTTACAGAAGTCGAGTAAATGTCTAGGGCTAGTGGTGGGGTCGGGGTCCTTCGTCTCTGGTACCTAGACGGACACAATTTTGCTGGGATCCACCTTCACGCGCAGAAAGACGGTATTGTCCTTGATGAAGGGTCGACTGTGCAGCAGTTCGTGCGAGATGAAGCGGGGAAAACCGAAGCCCAGCTGGTCGGGCTCGTTGGAGGGTCGCTGGAAGTTCTCCCAAGTGGGATCGGGTACAAAGGACTCGGCCACGCCCCCTTGGCCGCTCTGGGCGCCCTGCTCGAACAGCGTGAACGTGATGGAGTGCGAGAAGGGCCACTTCAAAAGAGCATCGTACTCTCCGGGCAGCACCTTAATGTACACAGAGACGTGGGTGTTCTCGCCGGGTCCGTTGCCATTGAGGAACATGGAGGCTTGCAGCTTGTAGCCGTACTGGGAGGTGTAGAAGGGCGGCGAGACCAACTCGAGGCCGTCCTTGCCCCGCGCCTCGGTCATCTTGGCCGACCAGTCGGTGATCTTCCACAACAGGGTGCCCGTGTAGTTGATGGACAGCTTGGACACTGCCGACTTCAGCATCTGGATCTGCTGGCCCTGGCGCGAGCTCAGCGCTACCATCAGCGACAGATGAGCCGCCGCATTGCTCTCCAGGTGCGCCTCCAGCATCTGCCGTGGGCCCTTGAAGCGGCATCCAGCCTCCTTGAAGCTACAGGCCACAGCCAGCGACTGGCACTCATCGCGCAGATGCGCCTCCAGCTCTCCGCGGGCAATCGGACCCGCATCGCAGCGCTGCGGACAGGCCAATGGAGCCCTTGGGCACTGGGCCGCATGAAGCGGAAGTGTGTCCGCCGAGAACTCGCGCTGGCAATGGGCACAGCGGCGGAGACGTTTCGCACAGTCCTTCGACTTGTGGAGGGTCATCCGCCCGCGCAGAACTCTCTGTCCGCACTTGGCTTCACAGTAGACTGGCTCCTGGCCACAGCTACCGTTGTGTTCCTCCAGCCCGGCGCCAGAGAACTCGCTCTGACAGAACTCGCATCGCGTGCGCCTCATTGTGCAGGTGTACTGCAGATGATCGGTCATCATGATCCGTGGGATCTGGGCGCCGCACTTGTTGGGGCATTGAGTGGCATCGTGCTTACAGGCATTGAGATGGCCCTTTAGCTTGCGGAGCTCATCGGACCACTTGCAGCCCTGTTTGTGGTGGATGCAGAACACCAGGGAGCCCATGATGTGCTTGGGATCTGGACCGGGATAGATCTGGAAATATAAGAAAGGGAAATTCGGAGATTAGTCATCGTTCAAGATGAGATATATTGGAATATATGCAGGTTGATATATGGACACGATCTATACATTGAATAGAAAACTTTCACACTTTCGTTTGGTATAAAAAACTTTGCTTTACTTTGCTTTGAAATTTTCCAAATCGTTGCCAAAAACCCATCTAAGAAAAACCGGCTTTTCAAGTGCGGAAGTTGGACGGGAACTGTTGTGATCTGAGTGGTTCCTCCCTCCATTTATAGGTGACTGGAAATCGCCTACAAAACCCGATAAGCAGCCCTCGAGGATGCTTCCCCTGCTTATCTCTCGATCAACCCAACCTGAATGATATTGATTTTCCGGCTACCTGCTTTGCACCTTGTTTTTCCTCTTTGTTCCTCTCGTTCACGGTTGTTCTCAACGGAAAAAACCCGTCAACTATTTTACACATGAGCGATCATGTTCTTAGGCACACCTAGACAGACACTTCCTGTCCTGTCCTCCCTGTCCTACTGCGACGTTGCTTCTAACGATCATTTTGGGCACTCTCCCGGACACTTGGACTTCATCTTCATCGGTTGACTGCCTCTTGCCTATAAGAACTGCACCCGCTTTTCACTGGCTCCCCAGTAGATATCGTTTTTTTTCCAACTGCAATTCTGCATTTCTCTTTGCTTCATTTTCCTTTTAATTGCAGCTGGGGAATGGGACCGAGGAGTGCGACTTCACATCCGGCAGATTAAAATAATACATTGCGTTGTTGTGCGAAAATATTTATGAGTTGCATGCCACAGCCTGTTGCTGGCTGAGTGCCTGGATTCCTAATCTAATTACAACGCCCCCATTCTGGGCTCCGAACCATGGATACATATGGATTTTCGACATCTAATATCTGGGTAATCATTAATATGAGTAATATATACAGATGGGCAGAGGACAAACCAATTCGGGGAATATGCCAGCACGAGAGACTCTTATGGTAGGCGCCCCCTAACGGCTCCGTGCAGCTCCTAAGCGAGCGTCGCGACATTTCCGGTTGACTCTTTTAATTGACCTTATCTGCAGTTTTGTTCATGGAGTGGGGGGCGCCCAGCCCCAGCCAGAGCGTGGCTTGACTTTTGATAAATGAACATGTCGCTGCATCTGCCCCCGGCATGAGCATGGGCATGGGTCGGGGCATGAGTCTGTGGGTACCCAACTCCCAGAGAAAGAGACAACTTGTAGACGCGACATTAAAACGAAGATATAATAAGCAATTAACACATGAGCATGGGGCAGGGTGCAGGGGGCAGGGGCCGCAGCAGAGAGCCAGAGAGAGATACAGTCTCTGTATGGTTCAGTTGAGATCGGATCCCATGTGCGTCCGAATGGGCATAGAGTATAAAACAGAGAAGAAGTAAAATATAATACATACGAGCACATATTTCTATGGAACTGCCTTTTGCTGGTAATTTCATTTAACGTGAAAACGAGTTTTGTTTCTGTTTTATGTCAACTTTGAGACCATTAGGCGCTGAACTGTAGCATCGAATTTGAACTCTCTAGAGGGCCATGGACCAATTACTCGTATCCATTTGAAATGAAGTTTGAATGAAGCTTGAAGCCACCCACAGCTTGGGGCATGGAGGAAGTAGCTGCCACTCAACCTCAACTGGAGATACCATAAACAAATTGTGCTCATGTTTACACAAATATTCGTTGCCTGTTTCATGTCGATGTTTTAATGAAGAACATGGATATGGAGCCGCAGCACCCGGAGCATAACGGAGCAGCAGAGTCAGAGATCAAAAGATGGTTTCTCCTCCAACGGTTTGTCAACGAATACCGACTGTTTACAGGGAAACCAAACAATTATAAAGCAGATGAAGTTTTCTTTAGAGGCAATTACCAGCCCATGCCCTCTTCCTTGTCGAGGTTAATTTACTTTGACTTCCACTTCTCCGGCGGAGTGGCTGAGGTCGTTTGCTGCTTGATTATATAATATAATAATATAATTATATGACTTTAGGCAACTTTTGCTTTTCTTTAAAGTGCCAAAAAGTAGCAGAGAACCGCGAGTATTTCCTATAATTATGAAGCATTATTCAACCGCCCAGAGACCGTCATTCCATTTGATTGGTTCTTATGTAAAGCTCTAAACAAATCCAATTGAAATTCCACACGAAAGCGTGGCCAAATTTCATGCAGAGGAAATACGAGTACAACAAAAAGAAACTATAAAACTATATAAAATAAAAAAAAGAAAGACGGAGAGACAGATAGACACCAACACCAAAATCAAAGCAATGTTCAGCAAAATGAAAGTGGAAACACAGAAGAGATGAAATAAAAAGAGTGAAGATCATTATTTATGGACAACGGCAGCCGCAGCAGTTGCCGGATTGTGTTTTATTTTTATGGGGGACGGGACCATCTCTACCCCTGGAGTCTCCTGGAGTGGCAGCCGACGATGCTCCACTCCACTTGGGTGCACTTTGCAGCACTGCGGCGGGGCACAGCAGATCATAAAAATTAAGTTAGATATAAGCAGGAAAACAATTTTATAATTTTAGACATCGAATGAATTCGATTCCGTGTAAGACATGTGCCCGTTTGCCCGATCTCTCTTGGCATGGGTCTAGTCTACTTTCCACCTCCTCTCCTTCCAGAGTAGATCCGAACAAGTTCCCATAAAGTTCAAGGCGCTCGTAGACGAAGAAGTTTGTTTTATTTTTAAGGCTTTTATGGCCCCAGCCCCAGCCTCAGCCTCAGACCCAGCAGATCGGGGAGGTTTCGGTTCGGTTTCGGTCTGGACTGCCTTCAATCAGCCAGCAAACAGCAACCCATCCCATGCCAAGGCGTTGTTTATGCTTCTGTTGAAAGCCCCAAAGGGAACATTTTTTGGTCATGTTTTTATTAATAGACAAATTGATCTCGGAAGGCACTTTCATTTGAAGGGTGGCTCGTTTTGGGGGGAGGTAAGAATTACTGATTTATTTGTAGATTTATTTAAATTATCTTGAAATTAGTTGGGGATTTATTGTAATTGTCTTCTTAGCCATAAATATGATTAGAAGTGATATAACATGAGCTGTAATCAATTGATCTGTAGGTACATCAATAAATGATCTATATGCACTGCCAATGGAAATGTTTTATTGCAAAGTAAAGCTTTGTGAAACAAATTAGAGCTACATCTGATTGTATTCAGTTTAATAATGAATGGTCATGAATAATGATCTATTCTTTTAGGGTAACACGATTTGTCAGTCGCTAACAGAAAGATCATCAATGCAATCAACATCAGTGGGATGCCTGTGGAGTGGGGACTTAGCACCTAAGGCCCCCTCTGGGCCAACTTCCGTTGCGTCTGTTAACACACAGAATTTCCTAACCAACATTCATTTGTGTCCCCAGCAACAGGGCAATGTACTGGAGAGGGAAATCTTGGCATGGGCCCAACGATGCCTCTGGCATGCTTTTTATTTGGTACGTGAGCATTGGAATTAGTTTTTTTTTATTTGGAGTTTCTGGTTGGTGTTTGCCCAAGAAATTCTCAACATTCATAAGACACTTTGTGGGGGGGGGGGGGGAGGGGTAAGCCATTAGTACGAGCAGTATCAACAGCATAAGCTCTATGAAAACTGTGCTAAATGTCTTTGATACTTTTATTTACCCGCAGCTGGAGCTCTAATTAGATCGCTTCTGGCTGTTTGCCTAAGGCCAAAACTTCCCACGACAGAGCTTCCAACTGTTTTGTGGTCTGCCTGCCTGCTCCCTGCTCCCTGCTGCTGATGATGTTATCGAGTGACCCAATAAAATGCATCGATACCTCCGATGCCCGATGCAGCAAAAGTGCAGCGCTGGCGAATTTCCATGCGAAGCGAGCGAGCAAAACAGCTGATGCGCAGTTTTGTGAATTTCACAAAGAAAAAACTCGGTCTCGGTTCGGCTTGTATGTAATTTCAGCAGCAACAGCAGTAAATACTCGTACAACCAACATCATTCAATGGCTGAGCCAAAGCCAGAGCCACAGCCAGACAGCTGCAAAAAAACGAAAACATAACATGGCCAATACCACAAACTGGTTTCACCTGAGCCCGAGACGGGGGGCGAGAAGGCTCAGAGCAGCTGATTTCCAAACAAGTAGACAATGCTGCTCCCGCCGTACCTCTCTGCACCTGCCTTTGCCCATGGAAACAGCAGCCATCGAAGATGTGTGTGTGTGTGTGTGTGTGTGTGCATCTGATACCCTCACAAAGAGTACTATCACTTTGAGCAGATGTCACAGGCACAGGCACAGGCATGTGCTCTGGATCAGCATCAACAGCCATGTCCTCGAGCAGGATCGGGATTAATAACACACATTATTGCTGTACTGTTGGTAATCATAGAGAAGCCTGTGCTGCTTATACTCTTCCTGTTAATCATGGTGAATCGATCGTATTTTCCATTGACAGTGCTCTCATATCTAGGTTTATGACTACGATCCCCTGATGTTCTGGATTTCCATTGCATTGTTGCCAGACTTCAGAGGCAGCGTTCAGTACTAGTATTTTGCAGGCAGGTGAATTTTTGTGCAGTGCTGTCATTATTTTGGTTTTTGTTGCCTTTGGCAGCTGCTGTTTGGTTGCTTGGCTCTTTGGTGTCTGTAAAATGCGGGTCTGACCTTTTTCCGCTGCTGTTGTTGGCCCGAATAAGCAGCTGCCGGCCGTCTGGACTGGGACAGGAAACGACAGTTAGCCAGTGGGGTCGTCATACTCTTGTCGAAATTCTTGCCGGCATTAGCAATAATTCTCGCAATTCTTTCGCATTGACAAGGTCCCCGGCGAAAGAAAGAAATCTGTTGAGTCAGCGGCGGGTTCGGCGGGTTCGGTGGGTCTCAGAGTGAAATGTGTCATTATCAACGGCATGCTAATCGAATGCTAATCGAAAGCGAAATGTAAGGCATTGCTAGAGCACATTCTAGGCAGGCTTGGCATTGGCATCCGTTGAAAGTGTGGGAAAACCAACAGGATCTGTTCAGATTGTGGGAATCTGTATCTGTCTGTTCTCCACTGACGGAAGTGCTTCGCTTCTCTCGAGCCAGAGACAAGAGGTAACGGCCCATAATTGAGGAATACTTCGAATTCCAACTGGGATTGTGGCATGAACTGGGAAACTAGATGGGGCAGTCGCAGCGGCAGCGGCAGACGCCCCCGTCAGTAATGTGGCTGGTGTGGTGGCTTAGTTGGGGCAACTGGTTAACTTTGGCCAAGGATGTTTGTACTTTGCACCGTGGCTGAAAAGCCGTTGGGCAACTTTTCCAGATGCTGGCCCAATCCGCAATCCACATCGTTAGTCTAAAACGCCGCTGCAGGCCAAATACTTGTACGAACCAAAACAAGAAACTTGTTTCGCTTTTCGCAAATGGCAAATATGCGCTACTCTGACTTACATAAGCTCTGCTGCTGTGCCACTCTGCCACTTATCTTTTGTATCTTTTGTTTTTGTCTAACGGTCTGCCGAAGCGCACGGGCTACGGGCTACGGGCTTTTCAACTTTGCCATTTGCCGCGGATGCGTCGCAGGCGCCACTGTTGTTGCTCACGATTTTCCATTTCCACTCCACGAATGAAAAGTGTGGCATGTTGCTCAGCGCCACTTTGTCGTGCTCTATGGGTGCGGCTGGGCCTCCGATGAATGCAGCTCGTTTTATGGAGAATCCATTGACCATAGAGAATGTCCAAAGGGGGTTCGCAAAAGAATGCCAACGAGGTCTGACCATGGTCTACGGGGGTTCTGATTGCTGCACAAGATCCGCATTCTATCGCATACTATCCCAAGAGAATCTTAGTTTAGCTCGGATGTAAATTTAATAAAAAATCCCCGAATCTTCCACGTTTTCAATGCAATCAGAACTTCCACAAAACGAACAAATAGTTTCTAGGTATTCCCATGCCCATTCCCTGGTTTATACTCCTCCATAGTTCACTCGTAAGCCTTTACCCACAGAGTCGGGGCCTTCGATACCATGTGGAGCCCTGGGTACGCGTAATTGTCAGCCACGTTGTGCACATGTGTGCATGTGTCGCCCAATGATGTGTACCCAACCGACCCGACTCTCTCTCTCTCTGTCTCTGTCTGAGCTGTCCCTGCTGCACATCCCATATCATACTCCATACCATAGCATTCCCTTCAGGGCTGTTCAAGCGTGTCTACATCCTGTTTGCTTTTCGGATTTTTATTTCAATTTCTTCTCCGTCCGACGCGTTGTTTTATGTCTATTTTCCCGGCCATATGTTTGTCAGGCAGGGGTTTCTCTCTGGGCGGGCCCGGGCCCGGGCCTCTGTTCGGGCTCTCTCTCTGAGTGAGCGGCATTTTGTCAAACAGCAAACAGCAAATTGTGCAAATTGCTCTCAACTTGGCCATGAAACAGTGGGGACTCTTTGTAATTGCATAGCCTCAGATCGATCAGATCGATCAGATCGATGTGGTGGAGTGGGCACGAATATTCGATAGTTGAAATCAAAAAAACCCGCTTATCTGGTGTGGAAATCCGTATGCCCCGCGCTATCAGTTTGGTTTGCTTTCCCAGTTGGTCTACATACGGGTACGACTACGGGTATTTGTTTTACGAAACTGATGAAACTGATTGATTGATAATGGTGGTAAGTGGCGGCTAAGCCCTGCCTGTCCGGCCATATGGCCCATTCAACTGGGTCAATGAGCTTTATCAGCATGGAATGCACCGATGATAGGGAATGCATGGCATAGCTTTGCATAGCTTTCATGTTGTCTTTGCTGTTTGCTCAGCTGGGGATTGCCAAAACAGGAAGTGCCCCAAGGGGGAGAAAATACTCCTCGTACTATCTGCATTTTTTTTGGATAACTTACAATCTGTTCCAGTTCCGTTATGGGCATATTGTTGTTGTTGTTGTTGTTGGTGCCATTGCTTCCTGGCGTCGGTGAACTGTGAGAATTGGCCGAAGAGGAGTGCGACGAGGACACTGTCGATGAGGAGGACCTCGAGGTGGCACAATGGTTGTGCGTCTTGTTGCGTGGCGGCGTCGGCGGCGGCACGGGGCTGGCCAATGTGGAGCAATCCTTGGAGTTGCGGTTGGGCGACAGGCGCGAGGGAAAGCTCAGCGTCTTGGTCCACTGGGCCAGGCTGCGTACCATTTTGGTAGATCTCCGGTAGCTCGTTGGTAGCTTCACTTGGTAGCTTGAAACTAATCCAAAAGTGTTTCAATTGGCAAGTCTTTGCTTTTTCTTTAGTTTGTTGTTATTGATTGTTTCACTGCTTATAGGCACTGTGACATGATAACTTTAGTTTGATTGTTGTCTGGTTTTCTGATATCACTGATTTCAACTATTTCAAAACTTGGCGAAATTCGCACGGCGCACGCGTATCGTTTGCAGCTTCAGCTACAGATACTCTATCTTCAGATACTTCTTTCCGTGAGACCGAAAAACGAACCGTTTGCGTTGCCTGCTTGAAAGCAACTGAAATGACGCAGTCGCGGCAGGCAGTGGCAAGCAGCGGCGGGCCTGGTAGCGACTCCACACACACACACACACACAGATACTTCGCTCACTCACACAATCATGGTTTACAGTATATAGTATCTGTATCTTCGGGGGTTGTGCAAGCGGGACAACAGTCGTTGATCAGCTCTGGCATTGCACTTTCGAGCGAGAGAGCGAATATTGCATGCCTACAGCGGGGGAGAGTTGTTTTGGAGACAGAGAGAGACAGAGTGAGAGAGAGAATGCCAGAGAAACAAAGATGAATGAGAGAGACTGGACTGGTGGTTGAAATCGGACAATAATAATATACTGTTCATACGAAAGCGGATACTTTTTGCAGTACATCAAATCTAGCAATTCAAATAAATAGTAATTCAATGTTTCCATTTGCTGAAATTTATAGACCACCTTTGGTGGGTATCTTTCGATTCTTTGAATTGTGGTTTTTGTTAATGAAACATTATTTATTGTATTTATTTATAGAGAAACTAAAGGCTTAATTTTGAGTGTTTTTAAGAGATTTTATAAAACAATAGAAGGAAAGCAAGCAGTTTTAAATTAACAATAGCTATATTTTTCAGAGTTCAAGATGCAAATAAAATATGACTCTTCATTTTGAGCCAGTTTCAAGTGAACATTTGAAATGTTTGTACCACATGTTCCTCTATTTCGGCTCTTATTACATATATCAAATTTTCCAACCGATTTGAAATTCCTCAATCTTAAAGCGTTTTCCAAGCCATTTTCCTAAAGGTACTATACATTTTTAAGCGATTACTTCCTCTTTTACATGTGCTTTGACCATTTCCAATTTATCTCATCCTGTTAGTGGGGGACTGGCAACGGTTTCCACTCAATTTGGCAACAGGACATATTACGGATGCAGTAATTGCTATATTTACCCAATAGTCGAACACCCAAACGGAGGTCTAATGATGCCAGCTATGCATTGGCGGTGCAATTAACCAAAGGGCCGCACCATCTGCTGGCCAGGAGTCGGTCGAGAGGGGCTAGAGGGATGTCGTTTGGCCGGGCAATTACAGACCGAACGCACTTCCGTTGGCCGCATACCAGAGAGACCCACGCAAACCAATACACAGGCATGGACCAGCCCACAGATACACACACAGACACAGACCAGACCCATACAGGCAGCATAAAAAACCGGCAACAACGGCCTTGCCAAGGTTGACTGAGCATGTTGCCGTTGCCGAAAAAAAGAGTCATAAAACCAAGAAAAGTAGTTGCTGCTTCTTTTGGCCAAGTAAGAGCATCGGGAGAGTGGCAGCAACAGCCAGAGAGAGAGCTGGCTCTGGCTCTCTCTCTCTCCATCACTCTCTGTTAATGGCCCGAAAGCCGCTTAGAAGCTCAGAGCCATCATTCCGAATGGAATGAGTTCATTCAGCCTCAGCTTTGAGCCGAAAGTTTCTCCAGACTGACCAGATTTTCCAGAGCTCGTGATTAATTGGTGCGTCTCCCTCCGCCTCCTGCCCCCAGTATAACTGTTATTATTTTGGTTCGTGTTAATTCCATTTTGCTTTTACCGCCAAATATTCGTTAGCATCTTGCTGGCACATGTCGGCCATGACAGATGCAGATGCTCTGGGTCTGTGCCTCTCTCGTTTTCCCTGGCCAATAAGTCGTCCTTTGCCTGGAACATGTTTCTGCCAGATCCTGTGCATTCCTGTTCGGTCCTGTTCAGCTCTCTTCTATTGTTCTCTGGCCTAGCAAATGATACGCAGCAGCTGCATTTGGCTGGCATCGAACAATGCGCTTATTGACAGTATTTCCAAAGGTGTCGCACAAAAGAGGATCCGATCGGTCTCATACCAAAAGGATCCTATTCTGCCATGGGTTCTTGTGTTTGAAAATATGTCAGATGCTGTGTGCAGATTTCCGGAGTTCATTTGATTCTTTTATCTACAGTTTTTTGTTGAGAACATATTGAATTTTCCTAAATACGCAAATATTTTTTGTTTGATTTTCTATTTCGGTTTAAGGATTAAACGCTTGAAATATTTAAATTTTTGCTTAAATAAGATCTTTTCTGATATAAAATTTGTTCTTTTCCGACTCACTTACCCAATGTTCTGTCGAAATGCACGTATAGGTGCGATTATGCAACATTCAACTTCTTAGTTGAATAAAAGTTAAATATTCCCGTACAAAACTGAACTGTTTCCTATCCAAAAACGTTCCCAGATCAATTTTCAAACTTGAATCCCCATTAACATTCACATCCGTTGTCTGGCGCAGCCACCAATCAAACAGAAATTTGCCTAATTAATAGTTCAAGATCAGAGAAAAGTCGGCGGTGATGTAATTTGTATATGAAATTAAGTTTCGGTGGCCCTCCGAGAAGGAGGAGTCGGAAGGCGTGCGCCTGACCATTAATCTTGCATAAACATTCAACATTCAACATTTGTTCAAGAAATCATAACAAGCTGGAGATCAAATATTTGTGGCCATCCACTGATAAGTCCCCACCGTTTGGCTTATCAGGAGGCTGTTAAAGTTGATGTTGAGGCTGAAGACCCACAATCAGGCTGTCAGGAAAGTCAGTCTGTCAGGGAGTGAGATGTGGGGGACCTACCGTAAAGAAAAGAGTTTCTAATGGTTCATTGATTTGCATTTAGGTGGGGTTCAGAGATCTTTTACTTATTCCGATGGGTGTGACCGAAGCTGGATTCCGATGGCTTCCTTATCTGGGTCCCCGGTTTCAGATGAAAACACAAAAGTGTTGGCTCTTCTTATCTAAATTCCCGAAAATTCAGTTGTTGCTGCTTGCTGCTGCTGCTTCAGCACATAGCAGGGCCTTTTGTTTATAAGCAAACAGTTTTTTTTGTTTTCCAAATCAACACCTCGGGTATCAATTACCCGGAGGGAGACGGACACGGAGCATGATATACACAGAAAGAGACCGAGCGACAGATCAGCATGAATCACTCGACTGGCCGGACTCTGTCTCTGTCTCTGTCTCTGTCTCTGGTCTGGTCTGGTCTCCTCTGTGTGCGTTTCCCAGCCCGAGATCCGCTTAGACTCGCTTTATCTCCAGTAATTAAAGTGTGACCGACCCTCAGACTCTGCTGCTCCCTGCAGTCGGCACATACCCGGGCAAATGTAAATCTTCTGTGCTATTTATTTATGATCTTTTATGATTTCCACAGTTGGACCAAGGCTCTGAACAATAAACGGCCTGGGCAACCGCACACGCCGCTCTCCTCCCGATCCAGTCGAAGTCCTCGTTCTCGTTTTCAGGTCTCTTCTCCTTTCGGTTGCTGGTGCTCTTGCTCTACTCCTGCATTAGTTGCGGATGGTTAGCAGTGCAAAAAAGAATCACGAGGTATAGTCTGCGATGTACTTCTCAGAATAGGCCCGAGAGGTTCGGCTGATAAAGTAGCAAGATTTATGGAAAGAGAGGCAAACAATTGTAATTATATTTGCCAAGGCTGTAAATGCAGATCGGGGTATTGATTGACAGCTATAAACAGCCCTAGAGATAATAGAAAATAATAACTACAAACTGTGGCAACAAAGATGAGACGTAAATGCTGGAGGTGTGATTCAGATTCAAAGTGTAAAATAGAAATAGATCCAACGATATCTTCCTATATCTCACTTACTCATACTTGGTTTATGCATTATAACTTTGGAAAGCTGTTCTGCAACTTACTCTTATCCAACGAATCTTTTAGATAGTTATAGAACTACTCATATTTCCTAATGATTTGCGACCTTCTCCTGCACCTTTCACCCAAATTGAACAATAAATATAAACTAATTTGAGAACTATTCTCTGATCCCTTATTAGAAGGTAAGCGTGGCGCATACAGGGATCTTAGGTTGCCCCAGAAACGGCGGACACCTGCCACACTCCCTCACAACTTCATTAGAACCATCGCCTCGCCCGGAATGCCTCGCTTGGGCTCGTTTACTTGGAGGTGCATGTAAATATTATGGAAGTCCGAAGAAAGACTCATAAAGGAACACACATATTTGTGGTGTTTGCTCTGGAAAATTATGCAACGGAAACAGGTGCAGCGACTGGTATGGCAGCGATTGGTGCGAGTGACACTCGCTTCGTTAAACGCGGGGAACTCGCGGGAAAAGGCTGGGTGCAAGGAAAACTTTTGGACCGACAGTGGGGCTGTTCAAAGGCCGTTCACTTGTCCAGAAATTCTTGCTCCGTTCTGGCAACACGCAGCTGACTAATCACCCATGACTCAGAGACATGGAGGAGGCGTGGAGTGGAGGATGGGGTTCCATGTGGCACGATAGCTATTACAGAATGTTACACATTTATTACCCGAGAAACAGCCTGGGACCTGGGGACTGGGACCTGGGATCCGCGCCGCGCCGCGCCGCGCCGGAATGGAATCCAATTCGGTTTAATCAAAGTTCAGACACGTCCAACTCCAGAGTGTGGGAAAATTTCCATTGCCTGGCGGAGTGCACTTTTCGTTGCGAATTTTCCTTCCTTTTTGGAGCGGGGAAAAACAATTTTCACTTCAAAGTCGTCTCGCTGTTTTGCTTTGCTTGTGCGCCTCTCATTTTGCAACACTTTCACCTGCTGATTTGGCACGTAAATGGGCTGATAAACACCAGACAATGACATCAGTCCCCGAGTCACCCCCGAGAGCTTTGTCTTTGTTTTTGGGAGACTATTCAAATCTCCAGAAATATCATTAATGTTAGAGCTGAGAGCCACTGGGAAGAGGTTCTGCCCACCGTGGAAGTTGACGACTCTCCACTCCCCTCCAAACTTCGCCCTGGGCTTGGACCGTGTTCGTTGACCTCATTTGTGGTTTCTTCGTATCTGTCGTGGTATATTTTATTTTTGCCAGTTGAATTCACTTTCAGTTTTGAGCTTGGGCTCGGCTTGGCTCAGTTTTGATTAAGTTGTGTCATGCAACGTTGATTTAATTATCATCAGCAGCAGCA